AATGTGCATAAGAGGGGCTTATGAGGTGCAGGGACTCAGGGCACCACCAGGGGTGATGGCACACTCTACCAGAGCTGCTGCAACATCCGCTGCTTTTTCCACAAGGGCTCCCATTGAGGAGATATGCCGGGCAGCAACCTGGTCTACTTTTTCTACCTTTGTCAGACATTATAGAATTGATCAGCAGTCCTCCATTGAGGCAGCCTTTGGTAGGAGGGTCCTACAATGGGTACTAGATGAGTAACTGAAAAAACAGTACCCACCCTGACTGATCTTTTCTACATAACCAGTGTGGATGCCTTCCCCCACTGAAGGAGAATGAAACATTGTACTTACATGAAGGTTTCTTCTCTTCAGTGGGGCAAAGGCATCCAATTTGCCCACCACTGTTTTTTGTGGGGGAAAGTTATGTTTTTTCATGTTGGCAACAAAGTTTTTTCCTGGGGATAACATTAAAAATCTTTTTTGGTATATGACATGTCTTTCATGTTACAATCGAGTTTTTACTTGGGTGTTTGCTGTTAACATTAAAGAAGTTTGTTTTTCCAGTTTAATATTCATGAGAGTGGTGTGCAGTTAGTTGCGGTCTAGGCTATTTCATGTCTGGAAGGACACTCATGCTCTGTCCTACTGGGCATGCTCAAAGATTTGCATAGCCCTGCCTGGAGCGAGAGGAGGCATGGCCTAATCAGTGTGGATGCCTTTGCCCCACTGAAGAGAAGAAACCTTCACGTAAGTACAATGTTTCATTCAGAGAGATCAGGTTCCATCTTGAAGCTGGTAACCCTAGGTACTCCCTGTGATCCTGATCACCACTTTTTTGGGTAGAAATACATAGATGCAGAATCATATATGGAGTCCCCACCATCCACCACATATATCACTACATATATCAAGTCCCCACCATCCACAATTAATTAAGCCTCAATGAACACTGGACAATCACCAGTCCCAAAGAACCGTTTATGATGGACACCAAGACCCAGCAGAATTTCTCAGTCAGTCCACTTCTTACAGCCAAGCAGGACAATTTTGACAGAAGAACAAGTGTGGAAAGGAAACCAGGTGTTTCCCTCCTTTTTGTATTCTTTAATACCAGTGATGCCCTGACCTGGATAGCCCAGGGTAGCCCTATCTCATCAGATCCCAGAAGTAGAGTAGGATTAGCCCTGGTTAGCATTTGAATGGGAGACAGGGTCAGTGTGCAGAGGAAGGCAATGGCAAACCATCTCTGAATGCCTCTTGCCTTGAGAACCCTATGGGGTCATGATAAGACAGCTGCAACTTGAAGGCGTTACACAACACATGGGATAATTATGCTATTCACCTTTAAGTGATATCATCAGGTTGTATGAGTTGCTCAGCTTCCGGTCTCTGACATGTGAAAGTTCAATTGTTTAATGATTGTCTTAGCAAACACCTGTCAGCCTGATAATATTTAAAGACAGAACTGTGGGTATAAATTACTCCGAGCAATAAAATGTTCCCTTAGGAGTTGTGCAATATATACCTATTAGTTTTTACTCAAGAGAAAAAAAAGTCTTAGATTTATATCACCCTATATAGTTCATGACCCTGAAAGGTAATGATGGACTTGTGGGGTGGAGAAATCTAGTACCCACACTTGCCACCCACCTGCTCCTTCCACCTCCGTTTCCCCATCTCTCCTACCCCACCTTCCTCTCTTTCCCCCTTGCTTGCCTGGTCTTTCATTCCCCCACTCCACTGGCCCTTCTCCATGTACTGTGTCTAGTTCCCCCTTGTTTGAAGAAAAATACAATTTGTTACAAAAGTGGTTTGTAGGCTGAACTTTCCCCCAAATGTTAAGAGCAATGTCTGCGCATTACAGTTATTGGTGGTGGGGGGGATTGTGAACTTGGGTGGCATATTGGGTTGTCATAGCAAGCCCAGGGGCTGCACAAAAACCTTTTGGCAACTGATTCCAAGCAAGCAAAAAGGCAAAGCTGTGGCGAGATCCAGCTGCCTTGCTTACTTTTCTATCCCTGTCCAGTAAGGCAAAGTGGGAGGGGAAGTGGGCAAGCACGAAAGGCAAGCTTTGCCTTTGTATTTTTCATCAAACCTGGGGATATATTATGCAGATATAGGAACCATACTTGGCTATTAGATATAAGGATAGCTATCAGCCGTGCATGCCTTCGTGTGCAGAGGTAGCATACCCATGAATGCTAGATGCCGGGGTCACAGAGTTGGGTGTCATCATTATGCTATGCTAGTGACTGCCCAGAAGTATCTGGCTTGCCATGGTTGAAGATCTAATGCTGCACTAATTGATTTTAATCTGATTGGCCAGGCAATTCTTGTGTCTTTGAAAGGTGGTGTACAAATGCATGGTAAGAACCACAAAATCTATTTACTGAGGCAACCAAACCATTAACTGGTCAACCCATCAAACATCTTAATGAATACCCAGACTACGTAGTCCACCAGCTAATTATAGCTTACTAAGTGTTTGACAAGTCTTCTGTTTGTATAGACTCACATGAAGCCAGACGTTTTCTCACACTTCTGATGAACTGTCTTTAGGAGCTGGCAAGCAGAATTCTTCATCATGAGTCAAAGGCTGTGCAGGGCTCCTTTCACCATAAAAGTTTGGGCTTGAGTTCAGAACAAAAACTAGTTTATTCTCATTCTTATAAGCAGGGGTCTTGTTGTAGAAAAAGAGCTGCCGGAGCTCATTAGCATAACTCATTAGCATAACTTATTTGCATATGCCACGCCCCCTGACATCACCGGAAGTGACAGAAGGCCACACCCCCTGACATCACCGGAAGTGTGTCAGAAGGCCCGGCTACTTACCCTCCTGCTTCATCCTCATTCCCAAACGGAATGAGGATCGAAGCAGAGGGCGGGGTAAAGAAGGGGGCGGGGCTTCACCACGTGACCGCCCCTCCCCCTAGAGGTTCTCTTCCGGAGCTCCGTACCTGAGAGCTCCCCCCCGACTAGAGCCCTGCTTATAAGCAAATTTGCAGTGTTTCTGAGTGATATTTATTTCATACATTTTTAGTTTATATTGATATTTAGGCCCCTGATAAGGGGAAAATAAATTGGACTGGGCATGCAAATTTGGAAATGTAAAGCACTTCTCAGACAAGCAATGATTAGAAGCAATTTGCGAGTGTATTGAAAGAATGAACACCTACCTAGTAATGTGTTCAACTTCTGTGGTAAAGGCCAGTCAAATAATTTGGAGAAGCATTTTGAAAGACTTAACAGTACCAAAAAGGCTAAGAAGAATATATTTTATCAATATTATTGCAAAGCCTTTTGATCCTTATCTCCTTAGCGCATTCTCTCTACCTCCCCACCCATTTAGATTATTTTCTTCCCCCCCTTATTTCCGGTGCTATTATTTTATGCCTCCTTTTTCCAGACAATATGTTGTTATTATATTCTTTGTAATAAACTAGACTGTTTAAAATAACAAAACAAGTAAAAAAATAAAACCTCTATTTTGTTTTATTTTGAGAGGAAAATCCTGACCTTGAGTGCCTTCATGTAACAGCAAGGACTTTTTCTTAGGGTGGGGTTATCAAGAGAAAGTTCATAAGTGACAGATCTGGCTTTGTTAAACATTAGCTTTCCCGGAGGGTGGAGTTCAACAGGCATGAACACAACCCACGGGGGCCTAGGCAAGGTCCAAGGGGAAGGGGACCTCTCTGGGCAAATATCTGTCACAGTAAACGTTGGCCACTTCGGCACTCACCAGCCACATCGACGCTGCACTCCGCTACTCTTAAACATTTCAGAAAAAGAAGAGACAAGAGAACCAGCATCTCCTCCCAGTAAGTCATTTCCTTTTATTTCCCCCCCCCCAATGAGCTATACTGTACATTTAAGTGCATTGTTAGAGACTAAATCAAAGTTAAGGCAGCCTCTGAACAAAAGAGGGGTATAATTTTTCTTCAGCTATGATTAATTCTACAAAACTAATGATTGTATGAAGCTATGTACAGACTTAAGAAACACTTAGAAAATAAACATGTACTATAGTAGTGTCCTAGATATTCCACCACACACTGTCTCATCCAGCTTTTTTCCTTTTTATTTCCACAAGAATTAGTGTCAGGTTATTACAGATGGTTTCAAAATCAACATTCCCTTGTGGGGGTTTTACTCACCTTGGGGGTAATAACAGTATGTTCCTTTAAGCCCCATGTTGGTTTATAATCTAATTTTCCTAAGAGATTCAATTATCTTCCTAGATATAAATGGCTATCGAAAGCAACACAGATAAACACATGAACGGCAAGATCAGTGAGATGGCCGTAATGGATAATGTTTCTGAGTCTGAAAGCAAAAGGTAACAATTTTTTCCTTCCTTTCCCATTATCAACAGATGGCTTCATCTTTTGGGGGTTTCTTGTATGTATCTTTTCTTTCATTTATATTAGAGAGACGTAATAATGTACACTGATTTCTTGTAGCTTCTTTTTAGCATCAACTTCAATTCATAATGCCTTGTGTGTGGTCAATATAGTAGCTTCCTTGCAATATTCTTGACCACTTCTTGATGAGCTTTCGGGGCTATTACAGAGACATCCAGATTTCTGGATATTTTGACCTTTTATGGTATTTGTTTTGTGTTGCTTTGGGCAGTGGGGGACAGAGAGAGAGAGAGAGAGAGAGAGAGAGAGAGAGAGAGAGAGAGAGAGATGCTTGTTTTTCTTGTCTTTGTCATTATCAGTTTTGCCACTAATTTTTTACTGATGTAGACTTCGTAATTGTGTGACAGCTGAGACTTCAACAGTTGCAATTATTTCCACTGCCACCGCTGTATGTTATAGGAACACTGTAGTTTGATTTTCTTTGATCTTAATAAAACCTCTCGGGTATGCATGTGAAAGGAATGAATAGCAGATATTCAGGCCATCTGTGTCCTAAAGTAAGGGAGGCACTACTGGTTTTACTTTAATAAATGTTTGAATCTTAGGCACATTGTATCACAAAAGGGCTCCTGTTCATTTGTCAGGTGGATACTGTATAACATAACAACCAAATGATGCAAGTCTTTATATTTACACTAGCAAGGACCCAAGTAGACATAGCATGAGAGAAACTAGGAAGGCAACTATTGGTAGCAGATTGCATATTGTTTCATAAACTACTGAAATCTGAGAAACCTTATGCATCTTTTGGACTGAAAGATTACTTTCTTTACAGTCAACATTGAGTTATAGGATGCACTCTGTTTTCTAATCTCTAGGTATTTTTGTATAGTTTCGTGGGAGGCTTAAAATCAAGAGTGACAGTAATCCAGTGTGACAAAATGATTAGAGCATCAGGCTAGGATCTGGGAGACCCAGGTTCGAATCTTCACCCTGCCATGGAATCTCACTGAGTGACCCTGGGCCAGTCACAAATTCTTACCCTAACCGACTGCAAAGTGTTGTTGTTAGGCTAAAATGGAGGAGAACAAAATGATCCCCACTGGGGGAAAAGGTGGCATATAAATTAATACATAAATAAATCCATGCAAAGCAAATAATATCCTGTATTTTAGGTTAAATTTTATACACACTATGAAACATGGAAGATATTGCCATTGCCTCTGAATGTATACCATACTTCATTCTGAACATGTTGGAAGTTCCAGATTTTCCCCAAATAAGCAAAGTAAAAGAAATAACCTATGAGCTTAATGCCAAAGTAATACATAGTGGTCTCTTACCTTTTTAGTTTATTCATTTTTAATTGTTTATTTACTTTACTTATCCCCCACCTTTCTCCCCAGTAGGGACCCAAGGTGGCTTACCTCATTTTGTTCTCCTCCGTTTTATCCTGACATCCACACTGTGAGCTAAGTTAGGCTGTGATCTGTGACTGGCCCAAGGTCACCCAGCCAGCTTCCATGGCAAAGTGAGGATTTGAACATGGTTCTGCCAGTCCTAGGCTGCGATCATACGCACAATTAGACCCACCAAAGACCTGAATGCTGGGCGGATTTAAAGGGCACAATCAGACAACAACATCTGGGAAGCGCCATTCTGCTCCACCGCAGAAGCAGAGTTAAAAGACACCAGGGAAAATCCAGTAGAAAACAGGTTGTGATGGGCCACAGACGAAATCTCCACTGTCTGATTGCTCCAGTGCACTCTCATGGCATTGGGATGGTCTGATCAGGCCATCCCGACTCCGTGCCATGGTTTCCCCCCCTCCCCTCTCAGTATGCACATCATCATAAACTCCATAGGGAGCCCTCAGTGTGGAGATGCGATCCATTGATTCCTCATTTATGTGCATCATAAACATAACTCACCTGCAGTTGTGTCTGATCACGCAGTGGCGGGCTGTGCCTGCAGCTTCCAAGAACTGTGTGATTGCGCAACTGCAGGTCAGATTCCTCCAGAGGAAATAGCCTCACTCTCCCCCCCCATTTTTTCTGGCATGTGTGACCACAACCCTAGTTCAGCACTCTAACCACTATATAAATAACCCTACCCTCCCTCATTTTATCCTCACAGGAACAGGGCCAGGCTAGGCTGAGAGAAAGTAACTGGCCCAAGGTCCTCTCAGAATAATATAAAGAGAAGCATCTATAAAATAAGCTGAAGAAAGATCTGGGAACCAGAATGGAGGAGAGAAAAAAAGCAGACCAGCAGAATCTGTGTTGGGAGGAAATGAATAGCAAGGGAAACATGGCAAGAGAGAGAAACCCTGTGTGGAGTTGGGCAGGTTCCTTTTTGACGATGAAGAGATATTTCCTCAAAGCAGGGGGAGAAGCAGAATGCTTTTAGGCCAGGGCATAGCTGAGTTCTTCCTTTGTCTAGGCTTATCCCACTCATTTGTAGGAAGAATGTCAATGGTGTGTTCGGGGCCCATCTTCTGTGCTCTCCTGGTTCCAAATTATAGTGTGAGCTGTAAATTCTGGGAGGCAGCAAGGAGGCTTCTAAATCTGTCCCACACAGGCATCATTTTTTGACAATCGGTGGGAAGAGACTTTTCAAAAACACACATTGTTGATTTGACATTTTGCATTGTTTTTCCCTTAAGTGTATGGGAATTTTCATTTTTAATGTCCTCATTCAAAATCTGAATAAAATCTGTTCATGTTCTTTTCAGCAGTAAAAAAAAGAAAAACAAGGAAAAGCCCAATATGATCAGCCCACTAACAATGGTAAGTTGTCTACATATTGAACTTTAATCAATGCACACAAATATAGACCCTGTGCAGACTGGTTGCTGATTATTTCTTAACCACAGTTAAGAGACTGGCTGGGGGTTCCTGTACTCCCTCCCACTCTAGAGAGCCAGTGTGGTGTACTGGTTAAGAGCAGCGGACTCTAATCTGGAGAACCGGGTTTGATTCCCCACTCCTCCACATGCAGCCAGCTGGGTGACCTTGGGTCAGTCACAGTTCTCTCAAAGCTATTCTCTCAAGAGCAGTTCTCTCAGAGCTCTCTCAGCCCCACCTACCTCACAGGGTGGCTGTTGTGGGGAGAGGAAGGGAAGGAGATTGTAAGTTGCTCTGAGACTCTGAGTGAAGGGTGAGGTATAAATCCAATCCAATCCTCCTCCTGCTCCTTTCTGCTCTGACAATGGTCACAATATAAACTACATAGTGTCATAAATCTGTGCTTAATAGGGTTGCCAACTCCAGGTTGGGAAATTTCTGGATATTCTGGATGTGAGGTATAATGCCATAGAGTCCACCTCCCAGAGCAGCCATTTTCTCCAGGGGAACTGATCCCGATAGTCTGGAGATCAGTTCTAATTCCAGGAGATCTTCAGATTCCACCTGGAAGTTAGCAATCCTAGTGCTTAATGTAGGGCAGAGAAGCTGCGTTGGCTCAAGTGGTTAAGACACTGAATTGCAGGCTGGAAGGTCGATAGTTCAGCAGTTCGAGACCCGAGTGCCGCATGACGGAGTGAGCTCCCATCTCTGGTTCCAGCTTCTGCCAACCTAGCAGTTTGAAAGCAAGAAATTGCAAGTAGATAAATAGGTACTGCTTCGGTGGGAAGGTAACAACGTTCCATGCACCTTGGTGTTTAGTCATGCCGGCCACATGACCACGGAAACATCTTTGGACAGCGCTGGCTCTTCGGCTTGGAAACGGAGATGAGCACCGCAACCCTAGAGTCGGATTCGACTGGCTTTCGAGCAAGGGAAACCTAATGTAGGGCAAGAATGTTAGTGTTATGGAATAGGGAAAAAGTAGCAGATTTCTCTTTTAATTTTTGGTGTCAATATTTGTGCAGTAATCATCCACAGGAATATGCTGCTGCTATTAGTGTTGTTGCTGTTATTATTGTTGTTGTTGTTGTTATATGTGCAGGCAAGGCAGGATATAAATAGAAATAAATAAATAAATACATTATATTTTTAAACCACCCTCCCCTGCAAAGCAGGGCTCAGGGTGGTGTACATCAATAGAAAAGAATTATATATTCATTGAGCAATTAAAAACAGTTAAAATATAATAAAAATACAGTAAGCAACCTGATAGGATAGCATTAAACTACTGATTATAGCACTGCTTCCTGTGGGAGGCAGGAGACAGGAGCACCAGACAGATGGAAACCATCGCTTTTTTGGTGGCGGCTCCACTCTGGTGGAATGAGTTCACAGAGAAGACCAGGGCCCTGCAGGGACCTTTTACAGTTCCGCAGGGCTTGCAAAACAGAGCTCTTCCACCAGGCCTTTGGAGCCGCCGCAACCACCACCACTACCAATTAATAACAACAGCTGACAACCATCGTGGAAGATCTGAGCCATTGGTCCCTGTGACTACTGCCCATTTCCCCTAACTGAAGCAGACCAATAGAATTAAAGCAAAAATTGGAATTTGCTAGCACTTTAACTACTATATTTTATTTTAATACTGATTTTATATTGCTGTATTATTTTTTATTAGGAACTGTATTAGTGTAATGAACTGTGTTTTATGTATAATGAGAGCTTTTATTCTGTTGTGAGCTGCCCTGAGCCAGCCTAGGCCAGTTGGGCAGGATAAAAATCAATAAAATCAATCAATAAATAAACCAAACGCTTGATGGAACATCTCTGCCTTACAGGCCCTGCAGAATTGCATTAGATTCCGCAGAGCCCCGATATTACTTGCCAGGGAGTTCCGCTAGATTGCCCTGGCCCTGGTCAAGGACAGCCAAATGTCTCTCTGGCCAGGGACCACCAGTAAGTTCTTATCTGCCGAGCACAATGCTCTTCAGGGGTTTTACCAGGAGAGGCAGTCCTGAAGGTACTTGGGTCCCAGACAGCTAAAGGCCTTAACGGTTAACACCAGAAACTTGAACGTGATCCGGTACTCCACCAAGAGCCAGTGCCGCTCATGCAGCACATGTGTCATTTGTGGGGTCCCCATGAGGACCTGCACTGCTGCATTCTGGACCCATTGGAGTTTCTGGGTCAGTCTCACGGGTAACCCTTCATAGAGCAAGTTACAGTAGTCTAATCTGGAGGTGACCATTGCATGGATTACTGTGGCTAGGTCAGGGAGAGACTGGTAGGGGGCCAGTTGCCTAACCTAGCGCAGCTGGGAGAATGCCAGTCGAGCAATATTTGTGATCTGGGTCTCCATTGACAAGGAGGTGTCCAGAACCAAACCCAGGCTCCTGACAGTTGGTGCCAGTATTAAGGGCACACCATCAATAGCCAGGAGCTGGCACCCCAAGACTGAGTCCCCCACCCACCCAGCCACGGCCACAGAACCTCCATCTTAGAAAGATTCAGTCGCAGCCAGCTCTGTTTTAACCATGGCCTCCAGCCCTTCAGTCAGATTTGCTGGGGTGGCATCTGGCCCACTGCCCATCAACAGATATAGCTGGGTGTCCTCAGCATACTCTAAAATTCTGCACCAATTGGGTGAGGGAGTGCATATAGATTTCAAACAACATTGGAGAGAGGATTGGCCCCTGAGGAACCCCACATACTATGAGTACTTAGTTGACACCCTCTCTCCTAGTGCCATCCTCTGTCCCTGACCCTGAAGAAATCAGGTAAGCCACTTCAAGACTGCCCCATGGACTCCTACATCAGCAAGGCAGTGGGTCTGAAGATCATAGCTGACCGTGTTGAACTCTGCTGTAAGATCAAGCGATAACAATCGATCAAACTGTTTGCAGAGATTGTCTGTGAGGGCGACCAAAGTCATCTCTGTCCCATGGCCAGGGTGGAAGCCAGACTGGAATGGGTCCAGCACCAGTGTGTCATCCAGGAAATTCTGAAGTTGTTCTGTCACCTTCTCTCAATTACCATACCCAGAAATGAAAGATGCAAGACTGGGTGGTAATTGGAAGGATCCATAGGATCCAAAGTTGGTTTCTTTGTGAGTGGTACAACTGTAGTCTCTTTTAATCCCTCTGGGTAGACCCCTGAATCCAGGGACAGATAATGCCCACTAGGGACTCCCAAATTCCCTCGCCACTGCCCCAAGGGCACACCATCAATAGCCAGGAGCTGGCACCCCAAGACTGAGTCATAGCTGACCGTGTTGAACTCTGCTGTAAGATCAAGCGATAACAATCGATCAAACTATTTGCAGAGATTGTCTGTGAGGGCGACCAAAGTCATCTCTGTCCCAGGGTGGAAGCCAGACTGGAATGGGTCCAGCACCAGTGTGTCATCCAGGAAATTCTGAAGTTGTTCTGTCACCTTCTCTCAATTACCATACCCAGAAATGAAAGATGCAAGACTGGGTGGTAATTGGAAGGATCCATAGGATCCAAAGTTGGTTTCTTTGTGAGTGGTACAACTGTAGTCTCTTTTAATCCCTCTGGGTAGACCCCTGAATCCAGGGACAGATAATGTCCACTAGGGACTCCCAAATTCCCTCGCCACTGCCCCTCACTAGCCACAAGGGACATGGGTCTAAGAGGCATGTTGGTGTTACAATGCTAGTGATTGTAAATCACTATAGTTAAATGTACCATCACGGATAAATTCTTTTTCACATGTGGATTTTTTGTTTTGTTTTGTTTTCAGTTTCGTTACTCAGACTGGCTGGATAAATTATTGATGGTACTGGGCACTTGCTTTGCGGCCATTCACGGAGCTGCCCTTCCAGTCATGATGATTATTTTCGGAGATATGACAGATAGTTTTGTTGCTTCAGGAATTCCTAAAGGTAAGAGCTGCCCGATGGAACAAGAGATTTACTATAGTATAATGCAAAGAAGACAAGGATTAAGGTATACCGTATGGATAAATCACCCCTATGGAAACTACCAAAAGCTGCAAGTGCATAGGCTGTATTGAACAGAGCAGAAGAATGCAACTTTCCCCATGGAGTCCTGTCTTTGCAGTCTTATTTTGATAAAAGCTTCCACAGAAACTCTTGTATGTTTCCTGTAGTACAATGGGGATGTTGCATAAGAGGAAAACTGGAGAAAACCAGAGGTCGATTCGGGGGGGATCGCGGGGGATCGCAGTTCCCCCGGGTGAGGTGGGAGGGGGCGAGGCACACGATGAAGCCCCGCACCCTGCTTCCAGCCGCCCCACTTCCGGCCCTCATTCAGCCAGGAGGAGGCAGGAGAAGAGGAAGGTGTGGTGCCCAGAACTGCACACAGTATTCCAAATGAGGTCTCACCATTGATTTATATAGGGGCATTATTATATTGGCTGATCTGTTTTCAATACCCTTCCTAATAATCCCCAGCATAGCATTGGCCTTCTTTATTGCAGTCACACACTGTCTCGACATTTTCAGTGAGTTATCCACTACAACTCCAAGATCTCTCTCTTGCTCAGTCTCTGCCAGTTCAGACCCCATCAATGTGTATTTATATTTAGGATTTTTGGCTCCAATGTGCATCACCTTGCACTTGGCCACATTGAACCCCATTTGCCATGTTGACGCCCACTCGCCCATCCTTGACAGATCCCCTTGGAGTGCCTCACAATCCTCACTGGTTTTCACCACCCTGAACAACTTTGTATCATCCGCAAATTTAGCCACTTCACTGCTTACTCCCATCTCCAAATCATTAATGAACAAGTTAAAAAGCAGTGGACCAAGTACTGATCCCTGCGGTACCCCACTGCTTACCACCCTCCACTGAGAAAATTGCCCACCTACACTCACTCTCTGTTTTCTATGAACTAGCCAGTTTTTGATCCATAAAAGGACTTGTCCTTCTATCCCATGATTTTTGAGCTTACTTAGGAGCCTTTGATGAGGAACTTTATCAAAAGCTTTCTGGAAGTCAAGGTAAATAATATCTATTGGATCCCCCTTGTCCACATGTTTGTTCACCCCCTCAAAGAACACTAACAGGTTAGTGAGACAAGATCTTCCCTTACAGAAACCGTGCTGAGTCTGCCTCAATAGGTTTTGTTCATCTATGTGCCTACTAATTCTTTCCTTAATAATGGTTTCCACCAATTTACCCGGTATCGACGTCAGACTGACTGGCCTGTAATTTCCCGGATCTCCTCTGGAACCCTTTTTAAAGATGGGAGTGACATTAGCTACCTTCCAATCCTCAGGAATGGAGGCAGATTTTAAGGAAAGATTACATATCTTTGTCAGGAGATCTACAAGTTCACATTTGAGTTCTTTCAGAACTCTCGGATGTATGCCATCTGGGCCTGGTGATTTTTCAGTTTTTAAGTTGTCTATCAGTTTTAGGACCTCCTCTCTCGTCACCTCAATCTGACTCAGGTCTTTCAACACCCCTCCTGAAATCAGTGGTTCTGGAGTGGGCAAGCACTTCTCATCTTCCACAGTGAAGACGGAGGCAAAAAATGCATTTAGCTTCTCAGCCATTTCCCTATCATCCTTCAATACTCCTTTTACCCCTTGGTCGTCCAAGGGCCCCACTGCCTCCCTGGCTGGTTTCCTGTTTCTAATGTATTTGAAGAAAGTTTTATTGTTGGTTTTTACGTTTTTTGCTATATGCTCCTCATATTCCCTTTTTGCCTGCCTGACCTCAGACTTGCATTTTATTTGCCATAGCCTGTGTTCCGTTTTATCAGCCTCACTGTGACTAGCTTTCCACTGCTTAAAGGAATTCTTTTTACTTTTTACAGCCTCCATTACTCTGTTTGTTAACCATGCAGGCTTTTTCCTATACCTGTTTGTGCCTTTCCTAACCTGCGGAATATATATTTTTTGAGCTTCTAGGATCGTAGTTTTAAATAGATCCCAAGCTTCCCCAATTGTTTTGACCCTTTCTACTTTTCCTTTCAGTTTCCTCCCCACGTGTCCCCTCATATCAGAGAAATTACCCCTTTTAAAGTTAAAAATGGTTGTGTGAGTCTTTTTGGCCAATTCTCTATTTGTACAAATGATGAACTCAACAACATTATGATCACTGTTTCCAAGCGGTGCAATCACTTTTACATCTCTCACCAGGTCTTGAGTGTTACTTAGGACCAAATCAAGGATCGCCTCTCCCCTGGTAGGTTCCGTGACCATCTGCTCCATAGCACAGTCATTTAGAGTGTCTAGAAACTCAATCTCTTTTTCCCGGCTAGAACACATATTGACCCAATCAATGTGTGGGTAGTTAAAATCACCTATTATTACACAGTGTTTTTGTCTAGTTGCTATCTTTAAGGCATTCATCATTTTATAATCCTCCTCTATCTTTTGATCTGGTGGGCGATAACAAACTCCCAGTGTTAAGTTTCCTTTTGGCCCCCCTATTTCAACCCATAGAACTTCCAGAAGCGAATCCAATTCACTTAGCCTCTCAATCTTTCTAGACTTTATACCCTCTCTGACATACAGAGCTACCCCACCTCCAACCCTTCCCCCCCTATCCTTCCGATATAATATATAACCGGGAATCACTGTGTCCCACTGATTTTCCTCATCCCACCAAGTTTCAGAAATACCCACAATGTCTATTTTTCCCTCCGACACCAAGCACTCCAACTCCCCGATTTTACCTCGGACACTTCTAGCATTTGTATAGAAACAGCTGTAATTTCCCTTACAAGTTAAGCCTGCATCCTTCCTCTTGCTATCTCGAGTCGTTGTCCGGCAGTCCATGTCACCAGCCATGGCCTCTGTGGACAATTTCAATCCACCTCCCTGTAGAAAAGCAACCGGTACCCCCTCACCTCTCTCAGATGAGCCAACCCGAACCAGAGACTTTTCATCTCCTGTCGGCTTTCCCCCAATATTCAGTTTAAAAGCTGCTCTGCCACCTTTTTGATTTTAAGTGCCAGCAGCCTGGTTCCTTCTCGGGACAAGTGGAGACCGTCTCGCCTGTACAGCTCCCTCTTGTTCCAAAAAGTATCCCAGTGCCTAACAAACCTGAACCCTTCCCCCCTACACCATCGTCTCATCCACGCATTGAGACTCCTGATCTCTGCCTGTCTCTCCGGCCCTGCGCGTGGAACAGGTAACACTTCTGAGAAGGCTACCTTGGAGGTCCTGGACCTAAGTTTCCTGCCCAGCATCCTAAATTTCTCCTCCAGGACCTCACGACTGCATTTCCCCACATCGTTGGTGCCGACATGCACCACGACCACTGGCTCCTCCCCAGCACTATCTACCAGCCTATCTAAAACACGCGTAATGTCCGCTACCTTCGCACCAGGCAGGCAAGTCACCATACGGTCAGTACGCGGGTTCGCCACCCAGCTGTCTACCTGCCTAAGGATCGAATCACCCACTACCAAGAGCCCCCCTCCCACCCTGCTCAGGGATGGTTCCTTGGTGCAAAAGGAGAGCCGCTCACCAGCTGGGGAAGAGGTCCCTTCTGAGGGCACATTCCCCTTATCCTCAGCATGGTGCCCTGTTTCCCCTAGACCCTCATGCTCCCTGACAGCAGCGGGGCTGCCAGATCCAGAGTGGGACGTAGCTAACAAGTCCCCGAGAGTCTTTTCTGTGTGCCTAGCTGACTGTCTCTGCTTCTCCAGGTCAGCCACCTTGGCCTCAAGGGAGCACACACGTTCCCTGAGAACCAGGAGCTCCTTGCACCGAGGACACACCCAAGACTTCTGCCCAGTGGGCAGATAGTCATACATGTGACACTCCGTGCAAAACACTGGATAGCCCCCAACCCCCTGCTGGCATTCTGGCTTCATAATTCTTTTAAAATAAGTAAATATAATCCCCCTTTAAAAACCCTTGGTATTTATGTGGTTTTTCTTGTCAAAGTCAAATTACTTTACGGGAAAGACAAAAAGCCTAGGGCTTTCTTAAATACTGAATTACAGTCAATCCCAGTCAAACAATGCCCCTTCCTCTCCCTCTCTCAATCAGCCAGGACTCTGCAACAACTCTAAGCGCTTCCACACACTGCTAAATACAGTTTTCCCATACAATATCCTCAGCTGAATCCCCTCAGCTGAAAGCAAGTAAAAAAAACACCACTCACTCCTCTAGCAGCTCTCTCTCCTGCTCCTGCTCAAAGCTCAGTTGGGTCTTCCCTCACCGAGGATTGGTTCTGACTTCTTCAAATGCATTCCGCTAAAGAAAACTCAGATTCACCTTCAACGGGTCCTTCTACGTAGGCCTGGACTTGCCAGCATTTCTACTCAGTAGCCTGAGTTTACCATCTTGCTTCCTTCTGGCCAAACCACCTTCCCTATCTATGCTTGTTTGGTTCCCAACCTCAGAAATGTCTTACTTTTTGCCTGTGTGTCTTGCCTTCACATCATAGATGGATTTCATACTTGACAATGGCATATACTCAGGTTATTCTCAGAGACACAATGCTTTGTGTAAGCATTTACTCTTGCCTTGACCTTGTTGGTAAGTTTAATCATTGTCCTTGCTATTGCCCAAGACTGGCTGGTGCACTTGAGGCAGCAAAAGGTGAACAGGAAAAGAAAATCACAGTTATCACAATTGTAGCTAAAAGTAATAAACTGTGAGGCAATTTTATACACGCTCATTTGGAAATATGTCCCATTAAACTAAGTACGTGTATATAGGTATCAATGCAAGGCAGATTCCAATCCACTGTAGTAAACATAATGATGAATACAACCCTAAGGCTGTGGTCACACTGGCAGCTTGGCGTGATATGGTGGCACCTCTAATTGTACTGGCTTAAAGTGTTGCGAGGCATACCAGCCAGACAGCATACCTTGCTGTGGGTTACCTGCAGAGCCGTCCCATGGTCAAGTATCCACAGTAGTTTTGCGTCTCAGCCATGGGACACACTGTGCCAGGGGGAGTTTTTTAAAAAAACATTGTGCATGCGCATAAGTGCATAACTGGACAACCACTTGCGTTAGCTAGCTCCGCAACCCATGAATGAGATGAAAGTGCCTGTTCACATTTCCCTTCTGGGTTCCTTTCGCGCTGGCAGAGTTCAGACATCAGACAAAACGAAGTGGAAGCATTACCATCCCTTACTAACCGAACCTTCCCTGGTGTCTGATTACTCTGGTTCTAATGCAGAGTGGGATGATCTGCTGACAACTGGGCCACGGACGGCAGATGTAGTCATCTGATCAAGCCCTTTAAACCTGCACAGGTAATACTAGTATGTTATGACAAACTGCTCGTGTAACCGCAGCCTATGAATCTGTTTCTCATTGAAGTTAATGGGATTATAGCACATAATTAAGCATTTAATTATGCTCAACACACTCGATAGGAAGTAAATTCCATTGAACACATGGTACATCTGAATAAACAATGTAGGATCAGATTGCTTGTGCCATACATTTCAGGGGCATTTAGGGATGCCTGAATTCTTCTAGGTTAGAAGTCGTTTACATGTTAACACTATATCCACTGGCAAAGGGGACAGGCTATGGCTCAGTGATAGTGCTTAGCACACAGAAGGTCCCAGGTTCAATTGCCAGCATCTCCAGTTAAGGACCAGATAGTAGGTGATTGTGAGAGACATATGCCTATGCTAGTTTCAGTAAACAACACTGACTTTGATGGACCAAAGGTCTGATTCAGTATAAGGCAGCTTTATGTGTTTGTGTGTGTGTGTGAAGGTATCAAGAGACGTGTGCTCATTTTCAGAAGGTACTCCAGTCTGTAGCCCCAAAGTTTGAACATTCCTATTTTCCTGCTCCACGTAGAAAAGTTAGAAGGCCTTTCAAAAAGCTAGCTGCTTATTTTGTTAGGACGTGCAATTTTTTGAGTTATTATTGGTTTTATTTTCTAGGTAGCTTTTCTTGAAAAACTGGATGTAACTCAGTGTTAATAACTGCTGTTTAATAGTGTAACCTTAAACAGAGTTATACATTTCTAAATTTCTTTGTTGTTTAATTAATCTATATCCTGCCTTTGTGTTCAAAAGAAAACTCAAGGTAGCTAACAAACATAAAACCTTATTACAATACAGCTATGAAATCCTACTACCATACCACCAATAACTTTTTTTAAAAATTTGGCATTTGTGTGTGTGTGTGTGTGTGCCCATGCCTGGAAGTCATGGTGACCTCTGGCAACTCCTACTGGGGCATGGAGGACATTCAGAGAAGTGGCTTGGTAGCCTGCCTCTGCCTCCCAACCCTGGTGGTCTTTGGAGGTCTCCCATCCAAATACTTGCCAGGGTCAGCCCTGCTTAGCTTCTGAGATCTGACGAGATCAGGCTTGCCTGGGCTACCCAGCTCAGGGCTACAAATAACTATTAGCTAACAAAGCCTCCCCCAGCAAAAGGCAGCAGTTCCTTTTAAAGTCATGAGCAGTCAAGGGATGGTGCTGAGCAGGTGGAAACCCTCACCCTTCATGGCCAGGTCTTCCCTCCAATGGGCAGCAGCTCCACATTCCAGCTCCTTTAAAAGACTTCAGTTGTCAAGGGGTGGTGTTGAGCAGGTACAAACCCTCAGCCTAGATGGCAAAGTATTTCCACCAATGGGCAGTGCCAATAGGCAGCACCTCCACACTGCAGCTCCTTTTAAAGGCATGACCAGTCAAGGGGTGGGGCTGAGCAGGTGCAGGCACTAAGCCTAGATGGCAGAGTCTCACCAGAAAATCCATTGAAGTCAATGCACTTACATGGGTGTAACCCTGCTTAGGCTGGCACTATAGATCTCTTGTTGAAAAGATTTTTGAAAAGATTTTTAAAAAGCTTACCAGAAGATAGAGTGGCTATTTTCTAAACAAAACCCTAATTTCATAAGTGTATTTTGTATCAATGTAAAGAAAAGGTGGAACCTAGGGGAAATTTCTCCATCTCTCTCAATACAATCCTAAACAGTTACACTCTTCTAAGTCTGTTGAAGGTGATGGGCTTTGAAAAGTGTAACGCTGCTTAGTATTGTACTGTCTGTTTCTTTTGCTGTATATCCTAATCAAAGACCTCTATTTGACTAGCTTAATAAATCCTCTAAAAATAGTTTGTTAGTTATATAAATGGAAAGATGTCATGATGTAAATGATGATATAGAATGTGTAATATAGAATTATAAGCATCAGGGTTTTTGAAGGAATTATCTTGCCATTCCAGGCACTAGAAAACTGCAGAAATACTTACCCGCACCATCTTCCTTTACGTACTTGTTTATGAAGTATTTCTTGTGCTGAGGACCTTTAAATTAGACTCTGTTCTAAAGCACTGCCACCTTGATTTCAGAAAAAAAGAAGGCATTGGAGAGAACTTTGGTACACTTCTGTGATTGGAAAACTGCTAGAATTGTGCAATGTTAGAGAATTACAATGTTGATGAATTAACATGTGGAATCCTCAGGATATCTGGGGTGAATGAATGAATGTTGCACAGACCAATTGCAGAAAATTCTAGAGCTCACATGAGTCCCTGGCCCCTCTAACAGTTCCCTCTACTTTTGAGTCACATGAAGGGGGGGGGGATTTGTGCTTCAGTCCCTCATTTTTGTCTTTTCCACTGTGAAGAGCAGATATTTTAGAGCTCCACTCTTTTTCTTTGTTTCTTTGGGGTAATTTCCTCATCTTCTCTCTGAAGGATTCAGGGCTTTGTGCTCCTTAATCTCTTCTTAGGTGCAGAAGCCTAGAATGTCACAGATGCACACCTACAGTATCTAGACCCCATCAGAACATCACAGTTAAGCCACCAGGGACATACCCATTCTGCCCCTCTTAATTTCTTAGCCTTCTATGTAACAGTGTTTGGTTTCTGAAGATCATCATAAAGACCTCACTGCTTCTGTTGTAGTTCACAACACTGATTCCGAAATACTATTGAAATTTTCTTCCCACTCCAATCAGAAACCCCATGTGAATCATCTCTAAACAACACCTTGATTGATGTAAACCCAATAGCATCTAGTAAAGATTTAATGCTCCACTACAGCAAACAGTTTCTGCATATGGCTAGTGTCTAGGACACTGGAATCAGCAATCATTGGATCCTGGTTTGGGAGTCTTACAGTCTATAGAGAGGCAGCATGGTATAGCCCAGTCTTGTCAGATCTCAGGAAGCTAAGCAGGGTTGGTATTTGGACGGGAGACTACAAAGGAAGACTCTGCAGAGGAAAGCAATGGCAAATGACTTTGGCTTCTCATTGTCTTAAAAGCCCCTTGTTGGGGTTGGTTGCGACTTTACAGCACATATACACAGTCTACAGATCCTATAGCTTTTGTTATTGTGGAGAAGTTATTGATAATGTTTGCAGGCCTTTGGCTAAAGCAACCATCAGTTTCATTCCATCCCCTATCAATAATAATTCAGAATACATACAAAACTAAATAGGAAGGCTGCTCCAACCTTTTTTCACACCCCACGGCCAATTCTGTTATTGTCAAAGCGTTCATCAGACACTACTCCATCAATGCTAATACTAGGAAAAATATAACAATGGAGAGGATCATGGAAAGTAGAAACAAAGATAAGAAACAACTGTGAAACAATAACTAAGCGATGCCAACAACTATATTAACAACAACTTGTACCACAGAAAAATCATCCATACGTTCAATAGAAAGAGTCAGATGCAACACTCAGTTCAATCACAGTCCAATAAAGGTACAGTGAAAAATAACGTTCACTGATATTTAAAGTGCTGTGTGCTGCCAATTAGTCCATTTAGAATATATAAGCTTCCAATAGAGACTTTTCCAAATATTCCAACTTCAAACGTAGAGATGTGATAAATAGCAGATTTTTGACTTTGCAGGAGGACGATGTGCAATTTCAGGAACACTCCCGTTCCGCTAACGAATCCTGCCAGCCTCTGAGTTTGGTTCCATCACTGCTTTATCAAAGATGGAACAGAATGTCTTCCTATGCATCCATTTCTTGCCACATTCACAAAATTTCATTTACGGCTGCTTACGGGCATAAGGGCAACTTCTCCAATCTCACAAAGTTACAAAGTTATCAATTGAATTCACAGCATTAATAGAATATACCACTGATTCTGTGGTACAAGTTGTTGTTAATATAGTTATTTATATTGCTTATTATTGTTTCACAGTTGTTTCTTATCTTTGTTTCTAATATTAGGGAAAAAGAGATGTTGCATTTACCAATAACTGACATTGAGTGGTCACATTCCCCCCTCTTACCTTGTTGTGAGTTCTATGAAAAAAGTAGCTGGCACCTCAGTACTTAGGCAAACTGAGGAATTAGGCATAACCCTTTCTCATGTGAGCCCAAAATGGAGAAAAAATGGGTGGGGAGGGGAGTGCCTGTGCCTCCCATTCCAAGAACTCTAAATTTTTCTGCAGCAGGTATGTGCAAATGACGTTCCCATTGTGATGACCACAATGAATATTTACAGTTAAGTACAACTGTTTTCAGCTTAATTAACAAAAAGCAAACTGTGATAGAGGATTTGTGTTTTAAATGGATGGATGCAAATTCAGCTGGAAATAATAGTTTACAGTGGTGAGAAAGGAAGTCAGTGGCCATCATCAGATTGTTTTGAATGCCTGCAAGAAACCTTATTGAACTGTTACCTTTTAAAGGTACAAATAGTAAAGTAACAGGGAAGTAGGACTCTGATCATGGACAATCAGTCATGGACCACACAGGATGAGGTTCAGATGGCACCAACTCCTTGCAAAAATGAGTTGTGGTTTATATATTTTCTCATTGGATTTAATTGTTTCATGTTTCCCTTTTTCCTGTTTAGGAAACAATTCAGAAAATATTACCGTGGACCCACCTGAGACACTACAAGAACAAATGACCAGGTACCTGGATATTTTTTGACATCTTTATCTTTGTGTGTGTGTGTGTGTGTGTCGCTGCTTCTGTTTTGCAATATGTAGGCCCATGCTGGCAGGGTTGCCCACCAGGAGGAAAGTTTAATGTGTGGAGAAAGTATGCAGAAATGGAACTTACAGGCTGTTTATTTCATATTTCCAGAGGTCATTTCGGGGGGGAACGTGGGGGACTACATTACCCCAGAAAGTATGCAGAAATGGAACTTACAGGCTGTTTATTTCATATTTCCATTAATGCATGGAATGGCAGAGTGCTTTGACTAACTTACTGGGTATGGTACAAGGCTACTTTCTCACTGGCATCACTGCGTCATTATTTACACAATTTTAGCAATCTAGATTTTGTATTAGGGAAGGGGACTTTGGACCCTTTTGACTGCCTTGATCCACAGAGATAATAATATATGGTGATGTGAAACAGTGTCATGTTTGGTGAGAAAAAACCTAGTCTCCAAACAAGCCATGGAGGGATCTAGTTAGACTGTAAGGAGGATGTCCCAAAGTTTTCTTCTTTTTCCCTATCCAGAGAGGAAGTAGTTCTCACCTATAAGGAAGACAAAGGTTACCTAGCAAATGGTAGAGCAGAGCTTGCACTGGCAAAACACGCTGGAACAAATACTTCAAAAGCTGATACGTGTAGTTGTACTATTCTCAATACTAGCACATTAGTCCAGCTAATAGGAAATGTATGGTGGATTGCAGCTGCTCACAGGGGCTATGGAAATGTCATGTCCTTCCACCATACCAAATGGAGTCTTTCCAGGTCTGTGCCCGTGCTAGCCATGAATGATCCAGGCTGGCATGGAAAGAACTCTTGTGATCCTGGGGAGCAATGTGATAATCATTCCTCTCTGCTGTGACTCCTGGGTGGAACTTCTGACTTGGAATGTTTCAAGTTTCAAGTTTCGTTTATTAGAGAGCCAGATTAGGACCAGGAAGACCCTGGTTCAAATCCTCACTGTTGTCTGAACTGCACTGGGTGAATTTGGCCCTGTTACTCTTAATCTACTTCACCAGGCTGTTGTAGAAATAGAATGGTGGAAGAGAGAACTGGGCACACTGCCTGAAACGTCTTGTGGAAAGGGTAGGATCAATATCTGTTATAGAGAAATGTGATCAATAGTTTGCCCTTCGCCCTTTTTTGAAGAGCTAGATTGTGCTTGCACGACAGAGGAATAGACACCTTGAATGAAAGGCATGCCCAAACTTGTCTATGAAATCAGTTAATCATTGCAAATGTAATGACATCAGTTTCCTGTGTTTTTTAAAAAGTCCACAGGCATACAAAAGGCAATTTAAAAGATAAATAGGTATAGGATTATCACTGTGTAATGTGCACATACCAGTTACTGTTACATGCATAGAATAAAACTTAACATAAGAACATAGGAGAAGCCAATGTTGGATCAGGCCAATGGCCCATTCAGTCCAACACTCTGTCACACAGTGGACAAAAATACCAGGTGCCATCAGGAGACCCAGCAGTGGGGACTTATCTTCAAATTTGTAAATTATAGCACAGAGTAGGTTTGTTCTCATCATATGGTACTTTCACAGTAGAAAAGAGCAAGAGTCCAGTAGCACCTTAAAGACTAACAAAATATGTGGCAGGAGATGAGCTTTCGTAAGTCACTGATCACTTTTTCAGATACTTCTTCAGAAACTTCTTCGCAGGAACTGTTTTCTTCAACTATGTGTTGACTTAATTATTCCTGAGACTCTCGAGGACATTCCTCCCAGACCATTGCATTCCCATGTTTTCCTTGTGCTAGTTTGCCCTTTGCCCTTTTTTGAAGAGCTAGATTGTGCTTGCAGGACAGAGGCAATGTTTTAAGGAGGCAATGTTTTTTTACTGTTTCTCCAAGGTGGGAGGATTCTTTCAGACCATTGCATTCCCATGTTTTCCTTGTGGCAGTTCCATTATTTTTAAGGAGGCAATGTATTTTACTGTTTCTCCAAAGTGGGAGGATTCTTTTTCTTCATACTCATATCCGTCCCTGAAGGAGCATCTCTACCAATATGAGCCTGTGTGGCCAATCCAATCCTCTGATCAGGGCCTTTTATCTACCCCTTCTCACAGACTCGTTAAATCTGCTGCTGTCCAATCTCACGCTTTTTTCACCCCCACACTGTGGAATTAACTTCTTGAATTTGCCAGATAGATACTTGCTCTTTAAAGGTTTAGGAAGCTGTAGAACTATTGGCCTTTTGTTGGTTGTATTGCATTTTACTGTATTGTAAACCACCTTAGGACCTTTCAGTTGAACGGCAGTCTAGATATAAACTAAATTTCACAAGAAAAGAAAGCACAAAGCAGACTTAAAACGGACAACAGCAAAGAAGGGAGACACTAATGATAGTTGGACAGGATGAATAATGTAGAATGGCAGCGTTAACTCTATCTCTAACCATATTCCAAACTTCCTCTGCTTGAGTTCTGTTGATTCACACCTGAAAGCGTTGTGCTGTTATTCTTCATATTGCTGAACTAGCTGTACTCTCAATAAATGGGGAAGGGTTTTCAGGCGGTGAGCCAGTCCTCAGCAGTAGACAAGTGCTTTTGTCAACTGCTCCTATGCATGGTTACTCAAAAGTAAGCACTGATTTCATAGGGCCCTATTTCCAAGCAAGTGTGTGTAGGATTTACCCTGTTATCATGTCTCTGTTTTTTGTTTTTGCTTGCAGCTCCTTGTGCTATATCAGATGCTCTCCATTCCATTGTGATGAAAGTTTATTATGTTTATATTAAAGATCCTGTCTGCTTTTGTAATTCTAAGTTCACAGAGCAAATTATTCCTAAAATCAATTTGTAATTCTGGTAGTATGAACTAACACATTGTTCTTGACTTTGCCTCTTCAATTTTGTGTTTGTAGATATGCGTACTACTATTCAGGAATAGGGGCTGGGGTCCTTGCTGTTGCCTATGCGCATATTGCATTTTGGACACTGGCAGCAGGCCGTCAGATCAAGAAAATTAGGCAACATTTTTTCCACTCCATTATGCGTCAGGAAATTGGATGGTTCGATGTAAATGATGTTGGGGAACTAAATACTCGACTTATAGAGTGAGTATACATTTTATGCTTGGCTATCATGTTTGCTTCAGAAGTTATTAATTTTAATTTTGGTTGCTAGTTTGGTTTATTTTTCTTAAAGCAGAACTTCTTGTATATTGATGAGATGCTGGGGCTTTAAAGTAAGCTCCATGTTGTGTGTGTTTTGTCTTAAAATTAGGAGAGGTAGTAAAGTACAGCTCTCAGTAAAGAAGAAGATAGGGCTGGATTGCAAATATGAGAGGTCAATTTGCAGATGCATTAATACATCTCCTATGATTTAAAGTTTATATATGTGAGAATGAGTGTGTGTGTGTGTGCCTGTGTCTGTCTATCTAAAAATCTGTTTGCTTCAGCAAAACAAGTAACTGTGGTATCCTCAAATCTGGCAATATTTATATAAACGTTTAGTCATATATCCAATGCTCCCTCTAAGCTGTGGAGTCTTGTGAGAAAAACTTCTACTTTGTGAGCTACTGGCATTAAAGTTGTGAGCAAGCGATTTGGCTACTGCATAAATTAATTTGCTCTGGAGCCATCCTTCCTGAGTTAAAACAAAAATGGGTGAGCCGGAGGCTAAAAAACTGTGAGCTAGATCACACTAACTCAGCTTAGAGGGAACACTGGAGGTGACTGCAAAGTATAGTGATACAACTGGAACATCTAGGAAGTATCTTTGGATCATGTGTATGGATGCATATGGATATCATACTTACCAATTCACTTTAAATTTGCTTTTTCTTAGTGATGTCTCCAAAATCAATGAAGGAATTGGAGACAAAATTTCAATCCTAATCCAGGGAATTTCTACATTTCTGGCAGGAATTATAATTGGATTCATTGAAGGATGGAAACTAACTCTTGTAATACTGGCAGTCAGTCCTGTTCTGGGCCTCTCTGCTGCGATATGGGCAAAGGTAATTTATATTTGTTAGTATTTTTTGTTATGAAAATGCAATTGCAATTGCCTCAAGGGTGAGTTCTTCATTCTATGTTTTGCTAGTTTATGACAGTAATAGGCAATGTGTGGCCTGAGAACTGCTTAAAACCACCATATCCCTAGCATATGGAGATTCAGATATAGACTGAAAATTTTTTCTCTGGTGGTGGTAGATAGAAGGGTGGCCTTGATAGATGGGGTATGGCCATGGTCTATTTATTGCTGACTCCTGATTCTTTAGTAAGTAAGACTATAACTGAAAAAGTGTGCTTGCACATGAAAGCTTATACCTTGAATAAAACTTTGTTGGTTTTAAAGGTGTCACGGGATTTAGTCTTTGTTCTAAGACTATACCAGTTAATATAAAATTTGTAAAATTGCTTAACATGGTTGGATCCTGACAGTTAAGCAAAAGACTGCAGTTTTGACAAGAGGTATTATGCCATACGTGCTGTTTTAAGAGGAATTTGGGTAAGGTAATGAAGTGGGTGCTCTAGACTACATATAGAGTTTGAGTAATGGGACTGAAACACTGTTTTTCCTATAGGTCCTTTCTTCATTCACCAGCAAGGAACTTGCTGCCTATGCAAAAGCTGGATCAGTAGCAGACGAGGTTCTGGCAGCAATTAGGACAGTAGTAGCTTTTGGAGGACAGAAGAAAGAAATCCAGAGGTTAGAAATGTTTTGTGCTATTAATTTTAAACAACCATTCTAGATATGTTGTATGTGTTTAGGTTATTCAGTAATCTATATTTGGCTCTTTTCAAATCAAACACACTCTCTTCTTTGGACCTATCCACAGTAGCATTTTTGTTCTTATGTTCCTTGTTGATCCTTGAAAAATAATTCCCTGGTGAGATTCTTTGGTCCACAAACAATGGGCAGACTAGAGTTCAGATCCTGGAGTCCCTTTGTACTGCAGCTGTACTGCTGTCTTCATGTGTGGTGCAAAAAGAAGAAAAAGAAGAACACTAGAAAGAGTGGGAATACAGCCTACTTTCTACAAAGTCATCATTAAAATGCCCCCCCCCATCCACATGAAAGCAGCCTGAGCACAAGGACAAAAATTCTCCTAGCATTGCCTCTCACTCCTATTGGCTGAGGTTCCTTGCCTGGCTTAAGGAAAGCCCCTCTCTTGGCCGTGACCCACATAACAATATTAAAGGGTCAGTTGATGAAGTGGCAAAGCACTGCTCCAAATCTGAAAGGAATACTGAAAACTGAAAATCCAGTTAGAAAGAAATCAGAAATGAAGTTTATTAACAATCATGGATACAAAGATAAACATCCATCTTTTCACATACTAAAAAAGAAAAGAAACAATTTATTGGGGTCTGGAAATCCTTTTTGGATGGCTTTTGGGCTTCTCATGCATAGAATGGCCAACTCAGTGGGGAGCCTGGGTTGCCGGACTCAAGTCCATCCTGATTTTCTACCAGGTCACCAAAGAGGGGAGGAAGAAAGGGCTCCTCATAGGCTCATGCAGTCAAGCCACCATCAGCCTGGCCCAGAACCTCCTCTCCCCCTCCACGCTGGAAGAGGCCATGTTCGAGCAGATCATCAAAGCCCTGCCAGACCACTTCGTCCCTATCCCATCGGAGATGTCGCACCACATGGCTTTCCACTACAGGAACCAGCAGCAGCGAGAGTCAGTATCTGGCCAAGCTACACCTTCTCGCATCCGAATGTGCATTTGGAACCCATTTGGAGACACCCCTCCGGGACAGGTTCGTGTGCAGCCTACAGCAGGAGAAGTTAAGGAGACTAATCACCGAAGCAGAGAAATGCACCCTAGCGTCCGCCCTCTCCACGGCCACTGCGTGGGAGTGATCACATTCGGTGTCCTCCCCAGCTCCCCGAGAAACCACCGAACACCAGACCGCCACTGATTTCGGGGACTCTGAGGCCGAAGGGGTCCACAAGAGCCAACCCACCATGTGGATGAAGGCTCCATTGGGCCCCCCACACTCGATCCGGGCCCCCGACTCCACCGCACTTGCGGAATGTGCCAGTTGCGGGAATGCGCATGAGAGGCAGACATGCCAGTTCAGGGACGCCACATGCCGAAGTTGTTGGCAGTCCGGTCACATCACCTGTGCCTGCCGCTCGAGAGGGTCCCAAAACCCGACCAGCAAGCCATCGCAATGACCCCGAACAGCTACACACTATGAGGCTGACATGACCACTGAGGAGCTCTACCTTCTGTCGATGGAACCCCCACAACAGGTACTGACATGCCCCAGCCCAAGCACGGCCCCTAAGATACAGGTCTGGTTGCAGATAGAAGGGTTCCCTTGCACCATGGAGCTAGACTCCGGCTCCGCAGCCTCCATCATCTCAGTGGAGACTCTCAAAAGACTCTGTCTAAATGGCAGGCCCTGCCTGCAGCCCTCCAACTTAAACCTAGTGGACTTTCAAAGGAACCGAGTACCAGTGTGGGGCGAGGGTCATTTCCGGGTCCGATACCGAGAGTTTGGTGGGGAGTTAAACTTGATCATGGTCGAGGGAAATTTGGTCATCCTGTTGGGCCATGCCTGGTTCGTCCCCTAGGCATAACCATTGAGGGGGTGAAGCAATGTGACTGGTTGGACTTTAAGGAGGTTTGCGAGGAATTTCGGTTCATTTTCAATGGATCACTGGGATGCTACACCGGCCCTCCGGTCTCCCTGCAGCTCGATCCCAAGATAGCGCCCATCCACATGTGAGCCAGGTGAGTTCCCTTCTCTCTGAAACAAACAATTGATGCCGAGCTGGACTGCCTGGTTGCACAAGGGGTCCTAGAACCAATCTCCCACGTGGCATGGGAGACACCAATAGTAACACCCATGAAGCCCAATGGCGGCGTCCGCATCTGCGCGGACTATAAGTGTACCCTGAATAAAGCCCTACAGGACCATGCCTCCCCGTCCCTGTAGTGAGTCATGTGTTCGCAACCTTGGTGGGAGCCAAGGTCTTCGGAAAGCTAGACCTCACCCAGGCATACCAGCAGCTGCCGGTGGATGAGGCCATGGCCAAGGCACAAACAATTGTCATGCACCGAGGGGGCGTTCAGGGTGAAGCAGCTCCAGTTCGAGGTAAGCGTAGCCCTGGGAATCTTCTAACACTTAATGGCCTCTCTCTTGAAAGGGATACCCGGGGTCACCCCATTCTTTGATGATGTGATGATCACCGTCACTACCAAGAACCCCATTCTTTGATGATCACCGTCACTACCAAGGAAGAGTTCACATCCCACCTCCGCACCGTCCTCCGCCGTTTCCACGAGGCCGGGCTCAAGGTGAAACAGGAAAAGTGCCTTCTGGGAGTTGACCGGGTAGACTTCTTGGGATTCACTGTAGATGTGGACGGCCTCCACCCTGCCTGGGACAAGATCAAGGCCATCGTAGAGGCCCTGTCCCCCAAGTCCAAAGTGGAACTCCAGTCATTCCTAGGCTTCCTAAATTCCTACCACGCCTACCTCCCCCACAAGGTGGCAGTGGTGGAGCCCCTGCACCAGCTGTTGGATAAGAAAGCCCCTTGGGTATGGGCCCCCCACCAGGCAGCTGCATTCCAGGCTGTCAAGACGCTGTTAATCTTGAACTCGGTGTTGGCCCACTTCAATGAATCCCTGCCAGTGATTCTCGCATGCGGCGCTTCTCCCTACGGTGTGGGCACAGTGCTAGGGCACCTACTTCCCAACAGCCGCAAAGTCCTGATGGCCTACTACTCCTGGACTCTGTCATCGGCAGAGCGGAACTATGCCCAAATCGATCTCGAGGGCCTGGCGATCGTCATGGGAGTGAAGACGTTCCACGACTTCTTATATAGCAGGTCCTTCACCATCGTGACAGACCATCGCCCCCTCCTTGGCCTCTTCACACCCGACAAGCAGACGCCGCAGGTGCTGTCCCCACTTGTGCTCAGGTGGTCCATTTTGACAATCTTCCGGACCAGCCCCTGCAGGCCGCTAACATCACCAGCCACTCGTCCAGGGACCCTGTCTTGTCCCAGGTCTTAGGCTGGGTGTGGCAGGGGTGGCCCCCAACCACCGCCAGTCCCACGTTCACAGCCTTCGCTGCCAGGAAGGCTGAACTCTCGACTTACAAGGGGTGCTTGTTGTGGGGGGATAGGGTCATCGCCCCAGTGCCCTGCGCCAACAGGTAGTCAAGTCGCTCCATGAGGCCCACCCGGGGATCATCAGGATGAAGTTACGTGTGGTGGCCGGGAATAGAAGTGAGCTCGAAGCATGGGTGAAGGGGTGTCAAGTGTGCCAGGCAGTCCGGCCGAACCCCCCAAGCACGCCCACACAGGGTTGGGAGTCCACCCACCGGCCATGGTCCAGGCTCCACATTGATTTCGCCGGATGCTAATATATAATTATTAGCAAAAATCAAATCAAAATTAAAAAAGAAGGCCGTTTGGCTGTCCAGTGCCAATTATTTTAAATCAATGTACCCTTTTCCTTTCAGGTATCATAAAAATTTAGAAGATGCTAAAAATTTGGGAATCAAGAAGGCTATTACAGCCAACATTTCCATGGGATTTGCTTTCTTTTTAATATATGCATCTTATGCCCTGGCTTTCTGGTATGGAACATCCTTGGTATTATATGAAGGATACAGTATTGGGAAAGTCCTTACAGTAAGTATTAGTGACGAGCTGCGTAGTTTTCTTGTTAACATAGATGTCGAATTTTGTGCTGATGCTTAGAAAAATAAATGAAGTTGGCATCTGTGATAGAAATTTCAAAACCGTGGATGTTTTCTTTCAAAGGAGTTGACCTATTTGTAAATCTGAATTGTCTCAGCTAGTGGCATAGGCAAAAAGTCATAAGACTTTACTATGTGTTTTATGTAAACATAGAAACTTTTATTTATGCATTTATTCACATGGCCTGTTCACAGTGTATAAATCTGGTGCATGTGTACGTGTGTGTATTTCTAACCAAGGATGGAGCATGTGTGAGAAAGCAACAAAACCTGCCCCCTCCTCCTAATTTACACTCTATTGCTTTTAAGTTCCTTGCTCAGTTCTGATACTAAAAATGCCCCAGCAGAAATAGAAATGGCGTGTATGAGATGGGGTGCAGCAGAGCAAGGTTTCACTCCTCCCCCCCCCCCGATGTTCTGCTTTGGGTTACAAATTGACCATTCCCACTCTGCTTTTTGCAGGGATGGTGAGATTAGACATGTTATGGCCCATCTTGTCACATCTAGGCTGACCCTAGGTGGATCTGTCAAGTACCATGCCGTCAGGAATCACTCTTCAGTCTAGAGCTGCATCATCTTTCCTTAGATTGTACCATCTTGCCTGCTCTCCTTGGCTACAGCCTATCAGCAGACTCTGTGTAAAGATGAAAAGAAAACTCATACTACTAGCAATCTGGTCAACAGTTCCACTTTAGCGCTGCTAACCACTCTGTGGTTAAAAGAAAACAAAACAAGAATCCAGTTGTCATCTCCTTATAATAAGTATCCAGGGGTAGAATGTCCAGATAGTTCTTCTCAGCAAGCCTCATTGGAATGAGCAGGTGCTGGGGAAGAGCACTACTATTCCCACTCCCAGGAGACTTTCCTGGGAGATTGTGTGCCACTGGGTCGTAGCTGCATGTATCTTTCTATGCCATCCGTATCAGCTCCCACCCAGCATCTACTACTCCAAAGCAGGCACAGAGCTGCCTCAGGTGCTCTGGTTTTGTTTCACTTTGAGGGTGTACCTTTCGACCTGCCTTGTCCCTCCCTGATTGTACCTGCCTGGTCTGTTTATCATCAGTTTTTCTCACCTTACCTGAACTTACTTCTTCAGCCTAGCTATTCCCGAGTATGTCCCAGCTTGCCCCCTTGGCCCATGCCTTAGTTTCCTTCCATTGTTCAGCCTAGCATTGTGTTAATCGGGTCCTTGTGCCAATGTCCACATTAACGCAAGTTGTTATGCATGGCAGAAAAGCAACTGGATGTTGTGCTATGGGGAGGCTCCACAGGACTCCTGCCTACGTGCTGGCAGAGCATGAAAGGTTATGAGTTCCAAAAAGGTTTGGACTCTGAGTTTACAATTTTTTCCTGTCAATATTGAAACTAAAATATAATAAAAGAGTAACACATATAAAACTTCTCTAAGCAGAGCCACTCCCTTCTAAACCCATTGACTTTGCTGCGACTCTGCTTTGGATTGCACTGTTAGTCTCACAAGATTTTCAGAAGTAGGAAGGTTGGCTTAATTAGGAAGGTTGGTTGTGGCTTAAGAAAGCTAGCAAAGGGTGTTGATAGGTTCCTCCCTAGGTAACCTTCCTCATTTTCATTGCCCTAATATTGTGAGCCATTGTACAAACCTATCGGATCCAAGGGCCAGGAGAGCTGGTGATTGTGACAACTCTGGAGTCCATGAAATGGCACAACTTTCAACTGTGTGTTTGCCAGAGCAAGCTTCTTTCAAGGTTTTCATGGGAAAGTGACATAGAGCTGCCGGGCACTGCCCAGCAATGTGTGGCCTTTTAATTGAAAGTGGTACAAAATGTGGTTTTGGAAAGAGCATCTTTGCTTATCTTCTTAGATATTGGAACTTAATATTCATTTCTAGTATTTCTAGCATCTACTTTTCCTTTCTAAATATCCTGAAGAATAGGGATTTAAGCATTTTAAGAAAAACAGGGCCAAGTATTAAAAACAAAAAAATAGACCAAAGGCAACTTTATCTGCTGTCCAGGTCCAAAGAATGCAATCCAGAGAATTCTAGAAGCTATGAATGCCATTTAACTTAACTGGATATTGAAGCAGAATACAGCGCTTAAGCCCTGTCGGTTCCAGTGATTCTCAGTCTGCATGCCGGAACATGCAGGGGCTCTGGGGCTCTGGGGAATAGGGATTTAAGCATTTTTAAAAAACAGGGCCAAGTATTAAAAACAAAAAAATAGACCAAAGGCAACTTTATCTGCTGTCCAGGTCCAAAGAATGCAATCCAGAGAATTCTAGAAGCTATGAATGCCATTTAACTTAACTGGATATTGAAGCAGAATACAGCGCTTAAGCCCTGTCGGTTCCAGTGATTCTCAGTCTGCATGCCGGAACATGCAGCATGATCCTATGTATTTCTGGAAATCACCGTGCCTTCCAAGCTGCAAATCTTGTCCACATTTATTTGGGAAAAGCTCCACTGAATGTATTGGGGGGAAGAATTATTTTAAATAAGCATAGGATCTGACTGTGGAGGCTTCCTATTTCTCACTTGTTTAAGACCACAGAAGGTTATTGGATAGTGACGAAAAAACACACAGCAACCAAACAGAAAGTAAGAAAATGCATTAAAAATGCAAGCAGAAGAAAAATAAAGGGTCAGTTTATGTGCACAGAAGATCTTCCATGCAAATAGTGCAGGGATACCTCAAGGGATCTTTACTGGAGCTCATTTGGCTAGCTGGCATCTGGCTCTATCCTGTGATAGCACGTGGCTTCTTTATGGCCCACATAAATGTTTGGGGAAATGCCACCTTTCACCAGCTTGGAGAGAGGAGTGAAATGTTGTGGCCTGCCCAGGGTCCCACACTGAGTGGGCTCCAGTGACTTGTGTGTGTGTGTGTGTGTGTGTGTACGACAGACTACATGACCTTCTGAAGAATCTGCCAACTACATCACCCTGTATAAGGAATAAAAAAATGCAAACCCAGAGGTCCAAGTTTCATGTGATTAAATGGATTCCTTTTCTTATCAAAATAGATAACTGAAAATAAGGGGGAAATTGCTCTTTGGTGAGGAATGTCAGACTGCCCCAGGAAGGAAGGAAGGAAGGAAGGAAGGAAGGAAGGAAGGAAGGAAGGAAGGAAGGAAATAGAAAATAGAAAATTTGCGTTCTCGAGAATTTACTTTCACCTTCTTAGGGAAAGCCTACCTCATTTGGTTGGAACACATTCGGATTATGAACAGGGACATCTCAGCAAACAATAACACTAGTTACTGATAGTATCAGTTTTAAAACCTATATATTGCCACCATTGTAACAGCTGCCTTGAAATAATTAGAATAAGAGGAGTAGTTTATGATTATAGAGAGTATTTTTCTTTCATTTGAGATTTTGTTCTGAGCTTTGATAGATCCGTTTTTGTTTTTTGAAATTTAGCCCCATGGCAGTTGTTTGACACGGGGCCTCAGTCTTTGCTAACATTTATAACTATGTTTTTGTTTTTGTCTTGAAAATGATTTCCATTTTAGGTCTTTTTTGCTGTGCTAATTGGAGCATTTAGTATTGGCCAGGCTACCCCAAACATAGAAGCATTTGCTATTGCAAGAGGAGCCGCTTATGCAGTTTTTAACATTATAGATAATGTAAGTATCCATTTTAGAGCAATGGCTTGAAATTACAGAGAGCCACAAAGTCTGAGAGCTATAATAAGTTATAATCACCATTGGCTGGAATCCAAAGAACATTACTACCGCTTCTGCATATCCCAGGAGACACTGGGCTAGCTTCCTTCTCAGATGGCAGTGGCCCCCGCATTCCATGCAGCATGGTAAGCAATGTTTGAAACTAAGGGATCTTTCACGAGTGGTTTCTTATAACGCAGTTCAAAGCAAAGGAGTCACAAATCCTACTGGGCACGCCCACATTAAAATAATACTTTGGACCCCATCCATTATATTTATTGTTAATGGCTTCAATCTAATTTGCAGTCAATAGTTGTTTAATGCACAAAGATAACAGTGCAAGCTAAGAGTCAATACCAACTGGCTAAGAGGCCAAGTAAGAAGAAGCTCAAACTTTCTTTCTCTGACGTGAAATGATCGATCCACTTTATTGACAGTACACTTTTAAGGGTAATGTAGTGGGTGGGATCCTGTGTGTCTTTTAAGAGTGGGAGTCACGTCTGGTGGAATGCGGGTGGCTAAGGTTAGCTCATGCTTCCTAGTTCCCTATGTGCAAATCGTGGTTCCATATTCTCCAGCCCAACCACAGATATTGATAATATTTAAACTGCTCTCCATCCCCAAATAAGAATCAACTCAAAATTACACATTTTGAGACTGTGGAGACTGTTACCCTGCAAGATGACATACTCTGCTGTCTTAAATCGAGTGTAACTCTGTTTAGGATTGCACTGATACTGGTGCCTGGTTCAGTGCATGGGTGTGCCCCAGAGATTCCATTAGTTTGCATTTCCATGCAAGACAAATCAATAGGATTTCCGGGGGCACTTCACTTTGGAGCTCTTGGAGTACAAACCTGGCACCAGGGTATGTCATCTTGCAGGGCACAGTTCTGGGGATGTGTGATTTGGGGTGATTCAGCCTTGTTTTGGGGTGCAGAGCTGTTTGTCATCAATATTTGTCATTGGAATGGAGAATAAGAAAGCAATGAGTGCAAATTGGGAACAAGCTACCAACGCCAGCCTTCAGGAAGAGGGATGAGTGGAAGTTGAGAGGTGAAAAGTGATTGCCTTAAACAGACCTGGCATTTGCTCCCTTCTGCTTTGTTTCCTTCATTCCTGTGTGGAGGTGAGAGGGCACTTTGGTTCCCTACCCACTTCTCTTTCTGGCTGCATCTCGTCTTCTTTACACAGAGAATGAAGGGTGTGCGTAGATATGTGCACCAGAACTTTGCACTAAGAAGGGTAAGAAAATCCTTATTCTGGGGTTCCCATGGCACCTGCCAACACCTTTCCTGGTGCCCATCAAATGCTTTTAGAAAGTGGGCATGGCTAGGTGGGGCTTTTCCCCAGCAGAACTTCTATTGGCTATGCAGATTAAAAGGAACCCTGTTAAACAAAGCTTTTACCTGAAATGTTAAAGAGTTACCATTAGAGATGTATCTAGAGCTGTATATAACCTTGATTCCTGACATTTTGTGGCTGTCCCCAACTCCTGTGGCAGCCATTTGGAGATTGTGCCCACCATCCTTTGTCAGAATTCCAACAATCCCACAGGCACAAAAAGGTTGGGGACCCCTGCCTTATTCTTTTCAGAAAAGCTGGAGTGAGGGGGAATGAACACTTCCATTCCCGCTCAAACTGACGCCAGGACAGGAAAGTGCTGCTGGCTTGAGTGTGACTGTGTGAAGTGTGCCATTTGTGATATGGAAGAATCTTTTCAGTGGAATTTTGCAAGTGAGAGTTTGCTTTGCTTTCAAATTGCAGCACAAGTGAACTAACCAGGTTGGATTTTTGTATAATTTTTCTTTTTATATAGGAACCTCAAATTGATAGTTTTTCAGAAACTGGCTACAAACCAGACAAGATTAAAGGGAACCTGAGTTTCCAGAATGTTTGTTTCAATTATCCATCAAGGCCAGATGTCCAGGTACAGTAAGAAGAAAACCAATATGGCTTCCTGCTTTGTTCATGTTTACCCACCTCCCCCCCCCCAATATTAAAGTGTTTCAATTATCCATCAAGGCCAGATGTCAAGGTACAGTAAGAAAAAAACCAATATGGCTCCCTGCTTTGTTCATGTCTACCCATCCCCCCCCAAATATTAAAGAAAAAAAATCAGTGCACAGTTCTGACTATATTTAAGGTATGTAATAAAGGTCAACTGTAAGTAACCTTGTGAATATATCCTGTAGGGGTTGAACAATAATTGAGATCCACTGTGTAAATGCTGGACATCTTGCGGGGAGGGCGTTTATACCATTTAGGTAAAGGTAAAGATTTCCCTTGCTCGAAAGCCATTTGAATCAGAATCTATGGATGCAGTGCTCATCTCCGTTTCCAAGCCGAAGAGCCAGTGCTGTCTAAAGACATTTCTGTGGTCATATGGCCGGCATAACTAAACACCAAGGCGCACAGAATACTGTTACCTTCCCACCAAAGTGGTACCTATTTATCTACTTGCAATTTCTTGCTTTCGAACTGCTAGGTTGGCAGGAGCTGGGTCCAGAGACAGGAGCTCACTCCATCATGCAGCACTCGGGTCTCAAACTGCCGAACTACCGACCATCAGGTCTGCAGTTCAGCATCTTAACCACCAGGGTTTGCAGGGCCATGAACCACGAACTGGTTCAGTTCATGAAAGAATCTCCTGGTTTGATTTGGTTTGTTGTTTGGTGTGTAGTTTGGTCATGAATTGGCATGGACTGCATTTTTCTGGTTCGTGCCCACCCCTATTAAACTGTTTGTAACTGTTAAAAGTGCCCAAGGCATATTTGATGTACAAAGGGCAGTAAGCAAAAGATGCTAGATTAATCTGCAGAAGTACAAGGTACTCTTTGTGCCAGTACAGAGTAATCCAGTTTGGAGGATTGTGATGTTGTGGCTCTACGGTATTGGACCTTAAGGTGTAGAAGATTACAGCTCTGATGAACCAACGTGAGCAATAGTTCTAGAATTAAACTTTTGACACATGCCATAAACTGTATTTAATTTTATTTCTACATTTTGACATTCTGCAGGAAATGTTGGTTTCCCCATTTCTGTGTGTTTTTATATTTAAAAACTGCAACAGGTAGACCAAAATCCTGTGGAGGAATAGGTGCTCCAGTCTAATCTGGTACAATGAAAGCTGTCTCAGGGCAACTCAAAGAGGGTTGTTGGAGTTTGTGTGTGTGTGTGTTCGCCAATACAGTTGTTGTAGATGATTTTGTATTTAATTCATATCATTGTAACTAACTTGTCTCTCATGGTCATAATTTTAAATGGATAGAGACAGTAGAACATGTGGTTATCCTTATCAATGAAATTAAAATTGGAAATGTTAATTTAACTTTGCACATGATATGGCTGTTGAAAGAAGTTGACCTGTTCAGCTGTTCATATTGGCTGTATCTGACATCATGAACAAAAGATAATTTTGCTTTTGAGAAGAATAAGCCTGAAATAGTCAGGCTTGAGTGCTCCCTTTCTCCTCCCCCTTCCTGTGGAAGCTGAAGGCCTCTTTTTTTGAAGGACTGTCAACAGGCCTGGAGAAAAATGTCCTGTCCCTTTAATAGAGGCTTAATGTGTGGAAATGGGCAGCAGACACTTTTTGTGTCATGGAGGTAAATAACATCCCACTAAACTTCTGTTAAGGGGACAGGATAATTTTTTCCCTAGAGAGTAAGCAACTTGTACTTTTTAGGGGAAATCTTCAGTTATTTCTTTCCCTCTTTCCATGGACCTGGGATCTGAAATTTTATCCTGGATTCGTCTGAAGTTTAGCCCCTCAATAATTGAGAAAGAAATGAACTCCAGTTTGCTAAGGTACCCAGATTCAGACAACACAAAGAAATGGAAGATTTCCTAAACCAAGAACACATAAAGGGTTTGGAGAAAATGGGGTATGTGAGCCTGAGAAGCTGAGGCTGGTTCACCTCACAAATATATTGTGGGTTGTCTGCAATGTCTGAAACTGTCTACATCTAAGTTCAAGTTATATTTCTAAAATATAAAGCCATAACACATTTGCAAAGTAGTCTATCGTAAGTGTGGAGCTGCTGTGGCTCAAGTGGTTAAGATGGTGAACTGCAGGCCGTGGAAGGTCAGTAGTTCAGCCGTTCGAGACCCGAGTGTGCTGCATGACGGAGTGAGCTCCCGTCTCTAGTTCCAGCTCCTGCCAACCTAGCAGTTCGAAAGCAAGAAATTGCAAGTAGATAAATAGGTACCACTTCAGTGGGAAGGTAACAGCGTTCCGTGCGCCTTGGGGTTTAGTCATGCCGGCCACATGACCACGGAAATGTCTTCGGACAGCGCTGGCTCTTCGGCTTTGAAACGGAGATGAGCACAGCAACCCTAGAGTCGGATTTGACTGGCTTTTAAGCAAGGGAACCTTTACCTTTACCTATCATAAGTATAGTAAATAATTGTGTTTTTCCATTTTCTCACTCAGGTATTAAAATACTTGAATCTGAACGTTAATAGTGGCCAGACAGTAGCTCTGGTAGGCAGCAGTGGTTGTGGAAAAAGTACAACCGTCCAGCTGATACAGAGATTTTATGATCCTCTAGAAGGCATGGTAAGCTGCTTGATTCAGTCTACATGCTCATGGAAGTTCTTCTGTGCTTGACATTGGTATGACAGCTGTAACTTGAAATGTAAGACTATGGGTAAATTATTAAAAACTGAGATGTACAATGCATATATAATCTTTTAGCCATGAAGTACTCAGTGTACATAACTCTGAGGCTGTGGTCACACACACGAAATAGTCCACTTTCAGTGCACTTTTCAACTGGATTTTTACTGTGTGAATTGAAAGTGGATTATGTAGTCTGGCTACAGCCTAAGAATTTTTTTTTCCTTTTGGAATTGCTCCTGAATGTTAGTTGGCTTTAATGAAACTCATGTAGAGGCCCACAGAGGTATATTCATGCTCCAAGCTCTCAAGTGAAACTGCAGAAAGTCAGGAAGAGGAAGGTGGTACGAGCCCTCCTTCCTTCTGGATCCATGCCCACTTGCATGCTCTTAATTTCCCATGACCCACTTCAGTGCACCAATGCAGGACTTTCAAACACTGCTTGCTGAGTCCCCCTCATTTTCCATTAGGTAAAGGACAGCCTGCTTCTTATCCTTTCTACCTTGGCAGAATTCTCTCTGTCCTTCATATATTTCTTTCTCAAAATCCTTACAGCTCTCTAATTTTGCTGTTTATTCTATACACACACACAATTAGGGAAGTATAAACAGGCGAGCTACAGAATGCAGAAGGCAAAAGGACTGTAACTGACTGAACACCTGTGCCATCTGCAGACAGCACTCAGCATGATAGATGGACCAGGCTTATCTCCCCAGCAGACATTGGTGGTTGATAAAGTATGACAACCTGACTATGGGTGGGCATGAACTGGCTCACGAATGAAAGTTTGTAATGAATTTTGGCCAGTTCGTGCATCATGAACTGAAGTTCATGGCAGGTCAACTGGCACAAACTTTCATGAATGGGTTCATGCCCATTCATGAATGGATATGTTTCCAGACAGACTGTGTCCACTCAAACAAAAGCAACTGGTGTATATGTAGAATTCTCTAGCCTTGGAAACACTGTTGTCAGTTTCAAACTAGTCATGTCAGTTTCGAGAGGACCCCCCCCCCACTTTGCAGGGGTTCCTTTGTGTTCACTTCCGATTTTCTTGTACAGAGCTTGCAAACCCTTCCCACTTGGATTTGTGACTCTGTGCTTTGAGACCAGTTCTTTTAAACTTGCAGTGCTAGTGTCACTGAGCTCTGCTGGGCATTCTGTGATTGCAGTGTTATCACTGGGCACTCTGTGCATTGTACTGGTTCTGCTGGGCTTGCAAAAATGCCCCCTTTGCTTGGATTGTGATTGAGCTGGCATTTCCACATTGACACTGGGTTCTGCTGGGCACTAGTACATTGTGCTGGTTCTGCTGGCTTCCAACCATCCCACACACCTGCTTGGATTGTGATTTTGTGCTTGACATCAGTCTGGTTAAGCTGGCATTGCCACGTTGGCACTGGTACTGCTGGGCTTCCACACACACCCTTGCTTGGAGTGTGATTCTGTGCTAGACTGCTGAGCTGGCTGTCATGAGTCAGCCAGGGCTCAGTGATAGCGAGGACTCCTCAGGAGAAGAGAAGCCCCGTGCAGCCAGCTCTGAGACAGCAGAAGCTGGCAAGCAGAAAGGTGAGCTGCAGACTTGTCAGGATTCACAGTCAGCAGCTGGTGCAGAGCCACTGACACCCTCCAGCCCTGATTCAACTCAACAGGTATCAACCACACCCTTAGAGCACCACAGATGGAGGCTAAGAACAGAGCTACAGGAGAGATGACAAAGTGCATGCCTCCTGGCTCAGTGCCAGCTGCTTGCTGATAGCAAAGATGAGTAGTTGCATTATTCCTGAGCAGCTGGCTGCAAGCATGACCCTTAAGCATATGGCTATAAAAACCAGTCAAGGGAGGCTGTTAGGCATTGATGCAACACATACAATAGACACTCAACCACCAACTCTGCCTTGCCTGATTTTTCTGGAACCCTGACCTTTAGACTGAATAACTTTGCCTTGCCTGATTTCTCATACCTGATACTCCAAGTCTGCTAGTCAGTACACTGGCATTGCCACAATGGCACTGGATTCTGCTGGGCACTAATACATAGCACTGATTCTACTGGGCTTGCAAAAATGCCCCCCATCTTCAGTTTCTACTGCAGAGATTCTCTGATTTGACATTAGTCCTGTTGGGTTTGCACTGCCACAGTGGCACTCGTTCTGCCAGGCACATTGCACTGGTTCTGCTGGGCTTGCAAAATGCCCCTTCACCTTCAGTTTCTACTGCAAAGAATCTCTGGAACTTTGATTCTGTTCTGCTGGGCTTCTGTTGCCCTTGCTTATTTTGCTGCCCCCCCCCCAATTTGGAAGCAATAAAGGATGTGGGCACCTTCTTTGGGGGGCCATAACCTGGATCCCATAAATCCAATCCTCATCAAACTTGGAAAGCAGGTAGAGGTGAGTCAGCTGGAGATCCCCTGCAAAATCTAGCACACCCGGGGGCATTCTGTAACATCATGAACCTCACAAATGGAACCAATTTGTTTAGCTTTAAAAGTTCATGTTTGTTCATGGCTCATGAACAGGGCACAGCATGAACTACAAACCAAAATGAACCACATTTTCCTGGTTTGTGCCCATCCCAAAACCTGACAAAAGCTTGATTCCTCAGGACCTATGTTATTTTCCAAATTTGATGTGAAGGATATTTAGACATTGGAAGTGGATAGTGGATTTGTGCAGATGAAAGCATATCTCAACTGAATGAAATATTACATTTAGCAGAGCGAAAGAGGAGTAGACATGTGAGCCCTAGATCCAATCCATCACACACCAATGCCATAAACCAATATCTGGCCTGAATCCTATTCCCCAACCTCTCTTTCCATTCTCCCTTCCCCCATTCTACCTAGATGTTCCTCCTGTCTTATATAATGTTTAATCAGTTGTGTTCTACACTCCTGATCCCCCTTTAACTTTTAGTTCCCAGTTTCCTATCCCAATAGCTTACCAGTACATTTTTTGAATATTCATTAAAACTCTACTGTTTGTTTTTTGTTTCATTTTAGGTTACTATTGATGGACAGGATATTAAGACTCTGAATTTAAGGTATCTCAGGGAGATTATAGGTGTAGTGAATCAGGAGCCTGTTTTGTTTGCTACCACAATTGCAGAAAACATACGATATGGACGGGAAAATGTCACTATGGAAGAGATCGAAAAAGCTGTCAAAGAAGCCAATGCCTATGACTTCATCATGAAATTGCCTGATGTGAGAAAAATTAATAATGTCATTGTATTCTTGCCTTTCTTCTTCTAATGTTATAAAAGGCAAATTAAAACTGAGATGAATGAAATATGTCAGTATTGTAATTGGCGTTTTAAAGTCTTGTGAAAATGGCGAGAAAAACCAACTATATCCTATGGCTTAGCATAAAATTTGACAATATTTATGAGGTAGTTTTGAAGCCTAAATACTAAAATGATATTGTCATTGTTGTTTATCCAACATCCTCAGCCTACATGGAGCTTTGGTGGTGGAAAGTGCCATCAAGTCGCAGCTAACTCTTGGCGACCCCAGAGTGCTTTCAAACCAAGAGATGAACAGAGATGGTTTGCCATTGCCTGCCTTTGTGTAGCAACCCTAGGATTCCTTGTTGGTCTCCCATCCAAATACTAATCATGGTTGTTCCTGCTTAACTCCTGAGATCTGATGAGATTGGGCTATCCTGGGCCATCCAGGTCAGGGCACACGGAGAATAACAAACAGAATATTCAGTTCCATCTATGGATGATTCACATGCAACAAAGTCCTCCTAGCCACTATGAGGAGTTTCAATTAGATGTGCAGTGGGATTTCCTAACATCTGGTTCGTATGTTACAAAGTCCATGAGGACTTTCAGTCAGACACGTTCTGGGAGTACCATTCTGCCCAGATATTCATGGGTCTGATTTGGATCAGGCCCATGGCACACAGGGAGAAGGGGATTAAGCCTCTCCCTACCCTATGTTCTTGCTATGGCCCTGGGGAACTGCTGTTTGTCCTACAAGGCAAGATGTGTGTAACAATGGCTTACATGCAAGTCTCCCCAGTGAGGAAAACAGCAGCTCCCCAGGGCTGTTTCAGACCAGGAAAACAGCCCAGGAGGGATGTTTAAGCCCCCACTGCCTGTGTGCCATGGTCCCGACCAATGTTCCCTCTAAGCTGAGTCTTGTGAGCAAAAATTCTACTTTGTGAGCTACTGGCATTAAAGTTGTGGGCGAGCGATTTGGCTACTGCACAAATTAGTCTGCTCTGGAGCCCTCCTTCCTGAGCTAAGACAAAAATGAGTGAGCTGGAGGCTAAAAAACTGTGAGCTAGCTCACACTAACTCAGCTTAGAGGGAACACTGGTCCCGACCCTTATAAGGCCATTACATATCTGGGAAGCATGGAGTTCCCAAAACGCATCTTAAAAGTCTTTATGGCCTTTATAACATGTGAATCAGCCCTTAGTTTCAATATTATTATTATTATTATTATCTGTATAGTCTGCCTTTCTCACTATACAGAGGAGGAGAACTATGAGGGTAAGCCCAGTGCCTCACAGCAAAACTTAAGCTTTGAATTGAGACTTGGAGGAAGCGCGTCATTCAGATATTTCAGGGGGGAAGTTTCAGGCAGAAAAAGAAGTAAAGGAGAATGGGTGAAGTTTCTGAAAGAAGAGGGAGATCCTCAGATCCCTGGGGCAGAGAGGGGGGGAGAACAAACGACATAGAGAGGGGGCCCAGGGATGCCAGCCTCCAGGTGAGATCTGGGGATCCCCTGATTGCATCACAGCCCCAGACAGAGGTCAGTGTCTCTGGAGAAAAGGGATGCTTTGGAGGGTGGACTCTGTGGCACTCTATCCCACTGAGGCCCCTGTCCTCACCAGGCTCCATCCCTAAATCTCCAGGAGTTTCCCAACCTGGATCTGGCAACCTTACCTGCCCTTCCCTTCTGGAGGCCAGAGAGGACCCGGCAACCCTAGGCAGGACTAAGTACTGGGAAATAAACATACAGAGATAAGGAGCAGACAAGGGCATGGTGTGCTTTGAAGGCAAGGCCAAAGAATGTGTACTCTACACTGGGCAGACTGGAAGAGAGTGCAGTGATTTAAGGATTGATGTTACATGGTCTGACCCATGTGAAAGATGGATGCTTTTGACAGCGTGGTTTTGCATAGACTGGGGAGGCTGAATGTGACAACAGAACATTAGAGAAGAAAATGTGAATTACCACAGATGGTATACATTTCGGCTCTTTAAATCCAGCCTTTTAGGGATTAAAAAAAACATTAGATTAGTATTTAACTTCTGAGAGCAGCAAGCTGTGGTTTTGAGCAAAGAAGCAATGGGGGAGAGAAGTGGAGAGGGGAACTCTTTTGCCTGCCAGATATTTCCCCCGATGAACATGTCCCTTTTTCTTTCCCTGTGGGGTTCCAGCAGCAAGATCACTGTCACAGATTTATATCTGGAACTCATAAGGGGTAGGGAAACAGCTGGAGGGAGGATAGATTGGAAGCAGAAAACCTCCTCCCCTCCCTGTCCCACATCCTCCAAGAAGCAGCTGTTGAGATTCAGTTATTGATTTGTAACAGTTAGTGAAGCCTTTCTATCTTTTTGTGCTGTAGCACTGGAATAGGTAGAGTTGGAGGGAATATTGTACACTGGGAATGTGTGAGTTTGCCATGCTTTCCCCACATATCTCATCCCCCCCCCTAAACTAAGGTGACCTCTATCAAGGAGAACACATTTCCTGTAGGCCTGAAGCTTTGGTTAAAGCCCCCCCCCCCCTGTTGTGATGACACAGTTGTGGTGTAGTGAGCTAAGTGTCAAACTACAACCAGGTTCACATTTGCACTCTGCTCTGAAGCTCCCTGGGTGATCTGGGGCCATCCATTCTCTCTCCGCCTAACCTGCCTAGTCTCAGGAACGACAGCTTGTATGAAGTAAATAAAATGTATTATGTCTTGCAGAAATATGAAACTGTGGTTGGAGAAAGAGGGGCCCAGCTAAGCGGAGGTCAAAAGCAGAGGATCGCAATTGCCCGAGCCCTTGTCCGTAATCCGAAGATCCTGTTACTGGATGAAGCAACATCCGCTTTAGATACTGAAAGCGAAGCAGTGGTTCAGTCAGCCCTGGACAAGGTCTGTCTCCTGTAAACGTGTAACTAAAAAGAACTTCATATTAGCAATAGATGTAAATGGCTTTCAAAACAAGAAACAGAACTGGATTCAAAGGTTCTGTTCCAGTAGTGGTAGAACGTTTCTCTGGTGCAAGAAGCCTTGCTGGAAAGTGCCGTCAAGTCACAGCAGACTTATGGCAAGCCCCATAGAGTTTTCAAGGCAAGGGATGAAGAGAGGTAGTTTGCCATTGCTTGCCTTTGCATAGCAACCCTGGACTTCCTTGGTGGTCTCCCATCCAAATACTAACCAGGGCCAACCCTGCTTAGCTTCCAAGAACTAGTGAGATCAGGCTAGCCTAGGCCATCCAGATCAGGGCACTAGCAGCATTACACCAGTGGAACACGCCACTTTAGCTGGATGAAGTCTCCATCATTAATGGAATGGCACCTTTGAATCCAACACCTCATAAAAAGGAGGGTTTTTATGAGGGCTCATCTCCTTCTTTTGTATTCATCTTTCAATGCGGGAAAGGCAATTAAGGCACTGCTTATTTGAAAATTAAACCAAGGGCGATTTTGCACTAGAGCTGCCTTGTGGCGCAGCCGCCGTTTGCCCCGACACAAACATGTCAATTTCACACCCGAAGCTGCGGGGCTGCATTATGACTCGCGGCTTCGCCTGATTTCCTCTGCAGTTTCGTGATCCTGGGTTTTGAGGATCACGAAACTGCGGAGGAATTCGGGCAAAGCCATGGGTCAAAATGCAGCCCCGCAGTCTCGGGTGTGAAATTGACAAATAGTGTTGGGGCAAACAGTGGCTGCACCGCGAGGCAGCTCTAGTGTGAAATCGCCCCAAGACTGCTTCTTGTATCAAAGCATACATCATGAGTATCAAAGCATATTGCATGAGTTTGAATGGCCAATAGAAACAAAGTTTGCACTTCTCTATGAATTATAAAGCAATCCTGAAGTAGTAACCTCTTAGTCCTAAAAGTCTGTATACTTAAGTCCTTTTAAGGGCTAGAGGACAGACAATCTTGTGAACATTTTTTAAAGTAAGTCTCTAGCCCTTTCCATTATGGGGATACTCCTTTTCGCTTAGATTTTAGAGAACAACAATATTTGGGGGGGGGGGTATAAGCAGTTCCTAGCAGTTCAAAAGCAAGAAATTGCAAGTAGATAAATAGGTACCACTTCGGTGGGAAGGTAACAGCGTTCCGTGTGCCTTGGTGTTTAGTCATGCCGGCCACATGACCACGGAAACGTCTTCGGACAGTGCTGGCTCTTCAGCTTTGAAACGGAGATGAGCACCGCAACCCTAGAGTCGGATTCGACTGGCTTTCGAGCAAGGGAACCTTTACCTATAAGCTTTTGATAGTCAAAGCACCTTATATCCTGGCAAACATGGTGCAAGTATTTTTAGTGAAACATCAAATAATAATACATGAAACACTGCATCTGAACATGAGCAGAAAGAGTACCCTTTCCTAGTTTACTACATTTGAAGCATTTACCAAGCAGAAAGCCTGACTGCATGAGATTCTCCTGGGCTATTTCCCCCACTTCTTTGACAAATACAACCCTGTTGTGTTAAGCAAATAGGATATTTTATAAAGTGCACTAACTTGAGCCACAAGGTTACGAAAGCATGGACATTTGCACTGAATCTGTGTGTGTGTTTTAGGCTAGGGAAGGTCGCACAACTATCGTCATTGCCCACCGGTTGTCTACAGTTCGCAATGCAGATCTCATTGCTGCTTTTGAAGATGGCATTATCACAGAACAAGGGACCCATAATGAACTAATGAAGAAGAAAGGAGTTTATTTCAAACTTGTTAACATGCAGGTATTCATCTCTTCACTTTTCTCTATCATTTCCGAAGATCAACCTCTCTTGAATTTAGACCTTTTCTTATGTCATGCAACTGTTATGCCCTTCCCAAATTTGAATACATATGTGAATTTATACATTTTGGGGTACCGCAAAAGAAAAATGTGTTGGGTCCAACTGGCTTTTTCACTGGTACAAAAAGGGAGGAGGGGGTCCCCTCTGAGCACCAAAATGAGTATTTTGGAGATCATGAGACCTGTGTGGACAAAAGCCAACTGGGACGGGGGCTGTAGTAAGCAGGGAATTTTTTATATATATACATACATACATGTATATATGTGTCTCTGTGTATGTGTATGTACCACTAGAATTTAACACTGGAAATCCAGGCTGATACACAGGAGAAGCCCACCCACTAGGTGGCCCCTGGGTGTTAGAGGGTGGGGGCACCAGTGACTGATGATACTGAATGGCTCAACAGAAGAAAGTGGGGAGGAATTGCATCTGACCCTGGAAGGAACCCCCTCCCCCAAATTTGGGGTATTTGTAGAGTAAATTTCCCACCAACGCACTTTTTCTGCCATGACAATCAGCATCAGTGCCCAAGTGAGCCCCCAAGCCACCAAGGACAGGAGGAGAGTGCAGTGGATGGGCTGGGGGGGTAGATACACAGGTTGGCTGGTCTAGGGCATGAAAACTCTATGGCCAGCCATGCTGATACACCAAGTTCAGCTATACTTGGGAAACTACAAACTCTTCTTTCCTAAGTCTTTGAATCCTTCTATTATTTGAAACAGGCCTTTGAAACAACCTCATCTGTCCTGTTATTCAGACATTTCTCACCCTTCTGGGTCTGTTGCTTCCTTTCTGGGCTAGACTGAACCCCTTGGATTTGGGGTACAGCCAGTCTTCTTGGGAATACTGTTGTTAGGTACCAAAACAAAATAAAACTGGAAGACAAGTTCAGTTATTTATCATGTTATCAGCTTTACCTGTGTAAAAGAGGCTTGATAGTGGCACCGGTGATATATGAATGTGCACTCTTAGGCCCATGCACATCTTACTGCAGATTTTCAGAGCAGTAAGCCTTTATTCTTGACTTTGAATTCTGTGCCCGCCTTATGCACCATTTTTTCTCTCCAGCGTATTTATTCTGCAGCTACAATAAAAAAAACACTTTTCTAAATCAGGATGAGACATCACTTGTGATCTGTGGGGGGTGCATCTGAAGTTTTTTTTTAATTATGCAATTGCCCTATTGCAGCTGCGCAGTAGCGTCCAGTAAGCACCTTCCATTTAAATCCTCATGGTTCAGGTTTTGCACATGCATTTTCACATTTGTTCATTGAATGAAAGGGAACAGAAAGGAAGCAAGCAAAGGGGGAAAACCCACTGGTGAAATTGACCAGACTTTTTCTGAAACTGACATGCAGCTCTGAAGCCCCAAACTGCTGTGAAAAATGGGAAGGAATCACATGATCTCATAATATGAAGGAACCTGTTGAGTGTACAGAGTGAATGGTAGAACCCAGTGACACTGGCATTGCAAGCTGTGATCGTTGGCAACGTGTGTGTGTGTGCACACATGGGGCACCTGTGCAAAGTCAGCTGCAACTCCACCATACTTTGCACAAGGCTGCAATTTGTATGGGGGAAGAGTCCTCTGGCAAAAGCTCTGGAGAACTTTTTTAGTCTTGTGCCACTGAATTGAAAAGGGGGGGGGTATTTTCGCCAATGCCCTAGCACAACTTCATAGTAATGCTAATTTCCTGCCCTTCCTTGCAGATTTGCGTGGTTTTGTGATTCTCTAATTTGATCCTGCACACTGGTTGTGATTGCAGCAGTTTTTTAAAGCCTGTCTTGTGTGGATTCCACTCTTCCTCCAAATGGATAGATCCCAATCAATTCTTGAGTTTGGTGGTTTGCAGAAGATCACTATGGTTCAGCCACCATTTTACTGTTAGGCTTCTAGACAGTGCCAAAATGGTCCCCTCCAAAAACTTTATTTACTAAAGCATTGAAGGGAAAAATGTTTTCAAAGCTTTAGGCTTCCCATCCCAGTTTCTCTCTCTCTTTATGTTGTGGGTCCGGCTGAGGCTGACTCCTCCTCAGATGAGGAGCAACTCAGCCTCCTCTAGAGACAGCCCAGAGGAAGAACCATTAGCAGTACCTGAGGAGTAAGCCAGTTTTTTAAAGCCTGTCTTGTGTGGATTCCACTCTTCCTCCAAATGGATAGATCCCAATCAATTCTTGAGTTTGGTGGTTTGCAGAAGATCCATATGGTTCAGCCACCATTTTACTGTTAGGTTTCTAGACATTGCCAAAATGGTCCCCTCCAAAAACTTTATTTACTAAAGCATTGAAGGGAAAAATGTTTTCAAAGCTTTAGGCTTCCCATCCCAGTTTCTCTCTCTCTTTATGTCGTGGGTCCGGGTCCGGCTGAGGCTGACTCCTCCTCAGATGAGGAAAAGGAAGGGAGCAACTCAGCCTCCTCTAGAGACAGACCAGAGGAAGAACCGTTAGCAGTACCTGAGGAGTAAGAGTCTTCGGCAACAGCTCTGTAAAATCAGACCTGTTTCTGAGTGTGCAGCAGTTGCTCCTTGCCTTTGGAAACTTGCATTCTTGAAAGGACTTCATGGCTATCAGACCTTTGGCTTTCTCACTGACCTTGATTCCAGCTCGTGTCTTCATCTTCTTCATCTTCTAGCTTATTGCCTTGGTGGTTACCTGCCAAGTCAGCACACTTTACATCTCATGTCAATTTCATACTGCACTGACAATCCCCCCTTTATTTTGTTAGCATGCAGCACTGAAATCCTTTTTTTTGTGTGTGTGTGCTGGGGATGTTACCATTTGCCTCCTCTCCAATCCCCCTTTCAAGTCAATACCAGCAAGGAACTAAACCTTGTGCAGCTCCTTTTAAACTTCCCCCCATCATTTCAGGTTTTTTTATTCAGCAATCTGAGAATAGCAATAGTCTCGTATTGCTAGATTCATGCTGCTTGTCAAAAATATTTTAAAATTTTAAATGAGGGGAAAATGGAGCTTGTACACCGATGAAGGGGGGGAGTATGGTGGAAGGTGCAGAGTGGGCAGAACAACCTCAATAGGAGTGGGGAGTGATCTTTGATGGGAAGAAAAAGGGCGGGGGGAAGTCGAGGGAATCTGTATGCTTTTGAATTACCTTCAGCTTGGAAGTGAAACAGGAAAAATCAGCACAAAAGCCCTCTCAAAAAAACCAGGGAAACAGCAACCAGAAAGCGAACTGAGCACTGAAGGGAGGAAAATCAATGCAGAAAGCGCACTGAAGGGAAGAAAATCAATGCAGAAAGCCAAAGGAAACTCAACAGACATGCATGGTGAAAGCGAGGGAAAACACTCGTGCGTAATAGGTCTTAGTCACATTCAAATCTAATTGTGATGCATAAAACTCCTGCTTCATGTTCTGCAAACATCTGGCATTTGCAAATATTTTGAACATGAAATCTCTTTCCAACATTCTGTGCCTTATTCAGTCAATTGAAACCGAAGTTCAATCAGAAGAGGTGGATGAAAGCGAGCTCAGTGGGATGAAGAGCACATTGGGAGAAGCATCAAAAGCTGCTCTACTGAATGGCTTGAGAAGACGTTCGACTCGCAGAAGCACCAAAAAGTCAAAAGCAGAGGATGAAGACCTTGAGGTGCAAACTGTTCAGCCTGTAAGTATTTTGGTTTTAGAAATATGTTATGTCTTGCAGTGCTGCAAATTGTATCTCATTTCTGTGATACGTGTGCTGTGACTTGTTCAGCATGCTGCACCTCTTTTCCTTTAACTGGTCTCCTTTTCTTCCTTTCCTGTTCTTGCGTTCGCTCTTCTGCTGTGGAGCTCTTTGTCTCTGGCTTCTACAGCCATGTTTTCTATCTTGCTGTCCCCAGAGCAGCCTCTTTTTGTTAGAATGGCTACAGGTACATGGATTTTATGGACTTATTTGGTTCATTTTAAACCCAAACCCATATTTATGAAAATTCTTTCCACAGTGTGTATTTAAGGATGGGCAACTGTAGCTCAATCTTTCTGAACTTGCTGTAGGAAACTGTGGTAATGGCCAGGCAGACGCTATTGCTGTGCGAAGTGTGGAGCCACTCTCCACCAAACTCTTCTTTAACTCCCTCCTTGTTGAAGGCACAGTCACTTTACAAATCCAGACTACAGTTTCCAAAGCCTGAATGAACTTTCCTGTTGTCCCTTCAGACTGCAGCTTACGGATCTCCACAAAACAGTCTGCATCAGGAAGGGGGAATCAGTAAAAACTGCAAATTTATTCTGGATCCTACCCAATGTCTTCTTAAAAATCACCTTAACTTCATCGTGCCTCAATACATTATATGATTTTTTTCAAAGTCTGCCGAAGCATAAAAATCCTGGGGGTTTTCTGGTTCTTATGTTCTTATGTAACATAATAATCATATTGAAAAATTAAACTTTGAGATATTTATGAACGGGATGCTGAAAGAGGTATTATTGACTGCATGTCTCAAAAATACTCATATTCTAGGAAGAAAACTTGCCCTCAGTTTCATTTTTGAAGATTATGAACCTGAATAAATCTGAATGGCCTTACTTTTTGGTGGGAACATTGTCTGCAATCATTAATGGAGCTTTGCAGCCTGCATTTTCCGTAATATTCTCTGAAATCATAGGGGTGAGTATATAGCAAGCTCTATTTTCAAAATCCAGTCCACATTTATAAAATGTGGGTTGCCAGGCTTCCTGCTATGGTGGGAGGCATCCTACCAGCCACCCTCATTACTTACCCTGCTCCAAGTGTCGGTGGGAACTTTTTTTTTTAGAAATGTTGGTGTTGTGTGAGCCATGATGTCACTTCCAGGGAAAAACTAAAGTGACATCTGGTCGCTACCACAGAGTTTCTGGGGATTCCTAGAGCTACATGGTGTCACTTCTGGGGTTTCCTGGAAGTGATGTCATGTTGCACATGATGCTATATTGCCATGACCTCCCCCTCCCCCCCCCCCCCGGCTGTGCCTGGAAACCTAAATGTAGAACATTTCAGTTGCCGCTAGTATTAGCATCTCCATGACAAAATTGTTCCTTAAGAGAAAATTTTGTATTTAAAAGCTTGAGGTCAAATTCAACATAACGTAAGAGATCTGACGACAGATGCACTTTTAAGAAAAACTCCTTTTTTTACCATAATACATAATGTCAGTAAAGGGAGCTTCAGCATACTATACAGATATGTTCATAAACAAGATCAAGAAATGATAAAAGATTACTAGTGGTTTGTTTGTCTTACTTCAGAATAGCCATGTAATGCTACTAATTTGGTTGGGGAAGTGATGGTGGAAAACAATGTTTTTGTCATCTACCTATGCCATTTCCCATGATTTAGTAGATCCCAGGTATGAAAATTATTGTAGAGAGGTAGCGTTAAACCTCGATACACAGGGCTCCCGCATTGTGGCCAATAAGAGGAAACATCTTTTTGCAAATAGTGGTAAAAGTCTCTTTCAAAATACCCTTTTTGCCCAGTAGAGGGAATTACAACATAATGTAAAGAAATGCTGATAAACTCAATCAACCCAGGATACATTATTTTAGTTAAACATAGAGTCTTGGAGCCATACTATACATTACCTCTACCATGTGATCACCAAAGGGACTTGCAGCAGTTCTGTATGGGAACTCAATTCAGAAGTGTCACAGGGCCCGAAATGTATTGAGACCATGGCATGGAGACAGTGGTTCCTGCCTCCCCACATGCTGTATCTCTGACCCAAAATGGCCCTGGAGGGGACTGCGTCTGAATGGGCCCAAAAGGCACTCCAAATTGAGTTCCCACAGGAAATTTGCAGTTGTCATAGGGTTGCTGCAAGTCCCTGTAGCAATCACATAGTAAATGTAACATGTAGATTGGACCCAGGAGTGTTAGAGATCGATAGCCTTAGAGTCCAGCCCTCTGTCACACTAGGGAAGCCAGGCTTCCTGCTATAGTGGGAGACCTCCCAGCATCCCTGCTGTTGAAGGTTGAAAATGGAGTGGGTACTGGTGTTGTACACTGCACTGATTCTACTTACGATAAAATCTGGAAGTGACATAGTAGGTACTTCAGCATTACAAAAATCCTATAGCTTTTGTAAATGTTAGATTGTCTAAAGACATCAGTGTTAAGTAATGTCAGTGTGCCAGTACAACTGCAGTGTGCCAGGACCTACCCTGGGATTTCTCCCAGGGTTTCCAGATACAGCCTGGCAGTGCTACCTCCCATCTAGGTACTGACTAGACCAATTATCTGCTTAGCTCAGCAAGGATTCCCTTGAACCATCTCTTTGCATACTTGGCTAATTAAGAACTGGAAAAAAAATGCAATTAAATTATTTAACCATCCAAAATATTTAGCATTTTGAGTGGGATTCAGCCAGGTTTTACACTTGATCTCACCCAAGTCTCTCCTTACTACAGTTTCTGTCAACACAGGTCCTATGATTTTCAACATTGCCTTTTTGGGTTGTTAAAGAGGATCCCTCCTTCCTTTTTCACAACAGGAAAAAAGTGGTGGGATCCAACCCTTTATTTAAGGGAGTGGGGTTCTCTATATCAAAACAAATGACAGTTTTAAGTACAATTTATTTCACTCAATAAAATAAAGTTCTTCTTTGTAGGTTTTTGCAAATACAGATAAAACGGTTGTCCGAGAACAGACCAATCTATACTCATTGCTGTTCTTAGCACTTGGGATCATTTCCTTTATCACCTTTTTTCTTCAGGTAGGTTTAATTGTTTTGCTCTTATGGTGCTTGGCTGGAGTCAATAGATAAAGAACTCTTATCTTGTTTTTGCTTTAGAAACAAAGGAAAAAATAACAGTTTTAATTTCAGAGTACTTTTGAAGAAGGCTTCATAGCCATTAGAAGTGTTTTTCCATGAGCATAAGTACCATTAGCCCACTCTAACAGCATCTTGGTGTCCTGCCGTGCTCGCATACCTGAATAATATTAGACACCTGGTTCTGGTTTATGGCGACATGCAGGCAGACGCATCTTCCAGACGTCCCAGGCATGCAATCTGCACACCAGCGTGTAGGAGGGGGTGCGACGGGTCGCGACCCCCCCTGGAGCCTTGGTAAAAGGCTCCTAGCCAGGGGGCTTTTGAGGGGCGACCTCTTCGCCGGCGTGATGCCGGAGAATTGAGGCGCTCCTCCACCCCGAAGGTCCTGTCACTGAGTGTCCGCATGGACGTAGCGTCGCTGATTGGGTCAAGCATTGGAGATCGGGCAAAAAACCCGATGCCGAGCGTGGCCGGCTGGCCGGCAACGAACTGTGAGTTGGGTTGAAGTGAGCATGAAGAATTAAAAAGAAAGCTGCCCCCCTAAATGAGTGACGGAAAGCAAGTGGGGGAGGGGCCCCTCCCAAATGCAGAAACACAGAAATAAAGAGGGGGGAGCAGAAGAATAAGCGGTTAAACCTGTTTTAAGAGACTTACCAGAGTGCAGACAAGCATTGGGACGAATATCAGAGACTTTAGCAACTTCCAGAAAAGTAAACAAATCCAAAAAGATGGTGGGGAAGAAACCAGATAAGGACAAACTGTTGAAAGCGAAACTAGTGAGCAGTCCTTGAACGGAAGAGACCACTGAGGTTTCCAAAATCTTGGCAGATTCCTTGTGCCCTCTGCTGGACGAGATGACTAATATCAAGCAACAACTATCAACAATTGGTCAGAGTTTGGCGTCACAGCAGCTAAAATTGACTCAATCTTTAAAAGCAATGGAGCAAATGACAGAGAAGGTGAAGGAAATGAACGCCAATACTAAAAAAGTTAAGAAAAAGGTGCAAAAGCTGGAAATGAAACAAGCTACGGAAGAGTCACAACTTCTACAGCTGCAAATGGAGAAAGCAAATTTGGTCCTACGGTTCCAAGGGGTCCCGGAAATTAAAGGTGAGAATCTGAAGCAACGGCTGAGTGAAGCAATAGCCCCAATGACAGTTTTGACAGCGGAATATCTTTACAGCAAGATGGATGTGGTCTACAGGTCCTATTCCTCATACATCAAGAAAAATAATCTGCCTGGGGAAATAGTAGTCAGATTCTCAAAGAGACATGTGAGAGACTCTATTTTGAATAGCTGGGGGAACCAGCTGAGGACAAGAAAGAAAAAGAAGAAAGCAAATCTGAGGGTGAGTTAGGCTTGGTTTCTTCTGAAGAGGACTCTCTGTCTGAAAGGGGGGCGGCTGCCCCCAAAAGTCCATACAAATTGAGGATAAGAAAAGATAAGAATAAATAATGGCTGAAGGACTCTGATTTGTGCCTGAAAATTCTGAAATTACTTTGGGATGCTCTGGGGATTTCTTTAAACAGTTAAATGGTAGCTAGCATAACCTAGCATAACTGACTATGTTCAATGTATAACTTAGCATTTTAGAATAATATTGAGATAAGCTGATGTATTGATCTCCTACTCTTGGGTTTTTAGTTATTAGTGGGTCTTTTTTCTTTCTCCTTAGATGTAGTTCCCCTCCCTATATCTTCAGTTATACTTTGTAGTTTGTGAAAAAAAACAATAAAAAACCTCCCCTTAGGGGGTTTAAAAAAATATTCGACCTTTTAAATTGGCACAGGTCAGTTAGAGACCATGGAGAATCTTGCTTTGTTGTTGAAATATATGTAGGACATATTAGGCAAAGTATAAGCATGCAGTTTTAGCTCAGGTATATTCAGCATGACAATAATTTCTTTATTTACTGCCCTTATCTATTTACTTTGCTATCATTCATTGTATGAGGACAGATGCTGAAAGCTTTGAGGCTTGAATCATTGACATTGGCAGTTTGACCATATATTGAGAACAGACAGATGAACTCTCTTTGGACCCACAGTGCAAAATATATTTCTTAGGTTTCTCATTTTCTGAACCCCAAATAACACCCATACTTTCAGTAATAGAAGCCAGCACTGATTTGAGTTTGGGATTAAATGTATAATTAGAAACATGTTCTTACACAAGATGTCAAAATAGAAAATTGGTGTGATGCTTCCAAGAAAATAGTCGTCTTATTGCTGAAAATGTTTTGCTTGGCTGGCATATTGGTACAATTTGTTATTTTGCATTATTTTGCCCTTGTGGTACAATTTTGTGATTTCCTCCTTCCATGATTAAAGAGACAATGCCCACTGACCCATACATTGCCTAGTCTTGGGTGCACCACTGATCTGGACAATTTTGTAGACTGGTAGTTCTGCCCACTTGCATCCACTTCAAGACACCAGTTCCAGATGGGTGGGGAGGGCAGCCAGAAATTGACGGGAGGACAACCAGGAGTCTTGTCTCCTGGCTCCAGCACCTTGTTCATTTTTCATAGGGGGGCACGAGAAAGTGAGGGTGATGTTCAGCCATTTTGTATTCCTCTTTGCTTCTGAACTTTCGGCAATCAGTTATGCAGAAATTTTTTCTCTTTCAGGGTTTTACATTTGGCAGAGCTGGAGAGATCCTTACAATGAAGATTCGCTACATGGGATTCAAAGCAATGCTCAGACAGGTACAAACAGGGGTCCCTCAAGGACTTGTGGGGGGCATCTCAATTTTCCCTCCCATACTATTTCCTCTTTCCCTTCCATGAAAAGCCCCCATAGCCTCTCCCCTTTTTTGCTTCTTTCTCTCCTTCCCATCCACTATCCAATCTGTTTTTATCTGCCACCTGTACCCTCTGCAGCTCTCCTTCCTTCCTTCCCCCTGGCAATATCTTCCTGGAGAAACTGTGGCTCAGTTGCACAATGCCAGCCTCTGGGCTGAGTTGCATGGTAGAGAGAGAACCCACAAGAACTTCCGGTAGCCACCTCACTTTCCCCTGCATCCACCTTTCCACACTACTTCTTTCCCTCTTCCTGGAAACCCTCATATTTTCACCTTTCCTTGCTCCCTTCTGTCCTTCCCACCATTTTCTGCCATCGTTGACAACTTTCCCTCCTCCCCTCCCCCTGGTAGCCTTTCCCTGGGAAACGTCTGGCCCAGCTGCATAGTGCCAGCTTCCAGGCTGGGCCAAATTGCATGGTTCCAGATGGGCTGGGCCCATTTAGGGTTGCCAGACCCCCAGTCCGGGCAGGGGTTCCCCTGATTTTGGGGGCTCCAATCTGCCATGGGCCAGCTGGCCAGCAGGGGAAGCCCCCACCCAAACAGCCCCATCTTGTGCAACATTTATTTATTTATTTTATTTATACCCCGCCCTCCCCGCTGGAACAGGCTCAGGGCAGCTTACATAAAATGAAGTAGCTAAAACAACAATATAAATAATAGCTTAAAAGCTTAAAAACAACAACATAAGGTGCTGGTAAACAATTGTCGGTGCGATGACATCACATGGATGTGACATCCAAATGCCAGGGTGTCACGTGGCTACACTCCAGCATTTCGCCCATAGAGCATTTCGCTCTATGGTTACCATAGAGTTTTGACCAAAATGCTAGAGCATTGCCATACGAAGTCCCCCATGTGATGACATCACTTCTGCATGATATCATTGTGTTGATGATGTCGCGCACGTCAGTGTCACCCCATCCTCAACACTCCCAGAAGGCTCGCTCCCACCCCTGCCAGCAGGGTAAGTGCACCCAGCAACCCTAGGCTCAGCTGCATGGTGGGGAACCTGCAAGGACTTGCAGGGGGAAACCTCATTTTCCCTTTATATCCTCCTCCCCACATTGTTTCCTCTTTCTCTTCTTCTGTCAGCCTCCATATCCCCAGCTTCCCCTATTTCCCTCTCTCCTTCCAAACCTACTTTTTATCTGCCTCCCATCTTACGCTATATTTATTATTTATGTACTTAATAATACCCTCCTTCCTTCCCAGTGGGGAACCAAAACATTGCTTTCCTCTCCTCCATGTTATTCTCACAACAAACCTATGGGGTAGGTTAGGCATAGACTGTGTGACTGGCCCAAAGTCACCAAGTGAGTGTCAGGGTTCGATAGTCAGATCACACCACACAGTGCTTCATAAGAAGAAATCTGTTTATTGGTAGTTCAGAACTATGACATGTGAACTTCTTTTGTCAGGAATGGCCCAAAGCAGCAGGGCACCCTGAATTATACTAGTTTCAAAACACCCCCCTCACAAGCAAAAGCCAATAAGCACTGTGCGCGCGCGCGGGGAAAAGAGAGCGGGCAAAGTAGAAGCCGTTTGTTCCCAGCAAGTCAGGAGCAGCTGGAACATCCAAAGTCAGAAAAGCAAAAGCAGATAAAACCCAGAGAGTAGACTTTGTTAGGGTACCAGGCAGAGGCGAGGAGGATTCCTCCCCCCACACACATTCCAGAGAATGGCAGTGTTAACTGACAGTGAGCCTCCACAGCAGAGTGTGGATTTGAACTCGGGTCTTCCAGATCCTACTTTTAAACTCTCACCACAACACTGCACTGGTTTTTATGGTGTAGCTGCTTAACAACAGGTAAGTCATACAAGTCACACAGTCGCAAACTGCCCAGTGGTTGCTCCCTGGCCTGGTCACAATGAGGGCTCCCTCAAATGCCAAAACAGACTTCCCACACTCTCTACCTTTTATTTTTTTTAATTTCATTTTATTTCTATCCCGCCCTCCCCGCATGCAGGCTCAGGGCGGCTTACAAGGCACCTCAGGGCTTGAACCCTGGCAATTACTGCTGTAGTGACCTAGCATTTGTTTCTTAAAACTACAGGCACAGCTTCTATTATTTGGGGAGGGGTGATAAAGAAGAGGCTTTTTTATTTGCTTTGTTTTTCAGTTTTTACCGCATCTCTTCCTCTGGCAATTGCAGTATATTTGCGATATATACCACTGTAGCTGCTCTGTCAACCATGTAATAAGCCAAATGCTACAGCCTGAAGCCATGTTACTCGTTTCTTGTATCTAGAAGAGCTTCTGTTTCTTATCTAGCATCTCCCCCCCCCCTCCCTGCATCATGCTACATGGCAAATATCTTAGGAAACTGAGGGAAATTTTAAAGGTGGGAGTCCACATAGCATGGAGATCTGTTGTTTAAAGGAAACCCATTTATGTGCCTAAACTATTATGATTCTCAGGCTACATGTTTAGAGACTTTGGGATTCAGAACTCACAAAATCACAGCAGGTCTGGTTTGCTGTCGACTTTGATGCAGATGAATTCTGTTGACTGAACTGTAACATACAGAAAAACACTTCTACGACTGCTACACAAATAAATAACATCGACGCCCCATCTTGAGGCTTTAAAACATTGGCCTGTATCCCACCATCCATGTACTTCATGCAGAAGGCGTTCCCATTTGCAGAAGGCGTTCCCATTTCCACTCCTGCTGCAGCTCCAGGGCTCCCTGAAATGTAATCTGTAGCACCCAGACACTGAGGAGCAGCATAGGGAGCTGCGTGGGGGGTCAGCAGCAACTCATGGAGAGGAACTGGCAAAATTTGTGAATTTCATGAGAATTCAGTTTCATCAGAGGAACGTCTTAGTTGGACACATTTTGTTAAAGTGTTTATTCCTTTTCTTTTACGTTTTAATTTGCCCTTTGTCTTGACTAATGTTATTTTCCATATCACAAAATGCATGTGTATTCTAGGACATCAGTTGGTTTGATGACCCTAAAAACAGCACGGGGGCATTGACAACAAGACTTGCTAATGATGCTTCCCAAGTAAAAGATGTAAGTTATGTAAATTCTCATGGACCTTTGCAATTAGAGGTATGGTGTGGATCCTCATCCAGTACAGAGGATGCAAAAACTTTGGGGTACCTTTTTTCCCAGTGGGATAAAAGCATGTCAGTGGTGGTGTTCTTCAGTGGGGAAAAGGTTAAAAGCCCTTTTCTTCCCATGCCATTCTCCTTCTTAGAGGCTGCATTTGAAAAAAGAATAAAAATCTTTTTAAAACGATGATGAATTTAAATATAATGTGTAGTTCCACCCTTGGGAATTTGACTTCTAGTTTTGTAGCATCCTTCACCATACTTCTGAAATATTAAGCATCGTCTGGACAAAACAGCTTCTAGCAAAATAATTTCTTTTCCTGCTCTAAGAACATCGCTATAGCTTGGCTTCCTTGCTTTCTCAAGTAGTGAGAAGTTTCAGGGACAACCCTTTGGGGGTTGTTTTCTTCTGGATGGGAAACTACACATTATGTCTCTGCAATATCTGTGTACCTTATTTTAAACATGGCCCCAGAATGTGGATCAAAAAATCTGCAAAAATAATCCATATATTGGGTATATGTATGGTCAGGAGTAAGGTAAAGGTAAAGGTTCCCTTGCTCGAAAGCCAGTCGAATCCGACTCTAGGGTTGCGGTGCTCATCTCCGTTTCAAAGCCGAAGAGCCAGCGCTGTCTGAAGACATTTCCGTGGTCATGTGGCCGGCATGACTAAATACCAAGGCGCACGGAACGCTGTTACCTTCCCACCGAAGTGGTCCCTATTTATCTACTTGCGATTTCTTGCTTTCGAACTGCTAGGTTGGCAGGAGCTGGAACTAGAGACAGGAGCTCACCCTGTCTTGCGGCACCCGGGTCTTGAACCGCTGAACTACTGACCTTCCACAGCCTGCAGTTCAGCGTCTTAACCACTTGAGCCACCGCAGCTCCATGGACAGGAGTAGCTTTCTACAAATCTGGGGTACCATACAGGTTTGCATAAAAATCCAAGATCTATATTTGACTATCGCGTAAATTAGTTTTTTTGAAGATTATTTCCATAACATGAGTTGTTGTAGATTTCCTGGGTTGTGTGGCTGTTGTCTTGGCATTGTAGTACCTGATGTTTCGCCAGCAGCTGTGACTGGCATCCTCAGAGGTATAACACAGAAAGGTGGAGTACTCTCTGTGTCAAGGTGAGAAGAAAAATGGTAGGCAAGTACTTTATATCTACTCAGGAAGGTGGGGTAGGGCTGAGTCATTATCTTGTAGGCGTTTCCCAGGCTGTGACATGCTAATGGGGAATTTTCCTGAGGAGGTTCTTTTGCATATGGAGAGTTTAAAAATAAATGAAGAGAGTTTAAAAATAAATAGGGCATGGTTTCCAGTCCTGAAAAACACAAAATGCTCTACATCTGACAACAGCACTACATATAAGATTAGAATTTCAATAGCCAATCCATATGCAAAAGAGAGAGGTGGCAGTAGCAGTCAGTAATAGAGGCAGCAGGGAAGGAAATATGACAGGGGGAAGAAAGAAACTCAGCAGCTGGTGGGGGCAGAAAGAAGCAGGAAGAGAAAGCAGGGACCAGCAAGGGGTGCGATTTCCCCCCCTCCTTGCAAGTTCCTTGCAGGACTCCACATGTCTGTGTGATTTACAAATATACAAACAGACCATATGGGAAGCCAAATTATACTCCCAAAGCAGGCAACAAATCCACCAGTTTTGCTTTGAACTATCCTAGGGGGAAGTGCTGCATCCTGAAAGTACATTTCTTCCCAGTCTGCTCACAGCACGTGCCTTCTGCATCTCCAGTTCAAACTTCTAATCGACTTTAAATTATCTCACTGCCCCCAATTGCAATAGGTGTTGCATTCCAAAAACTGGAGATTCCCACTGTTCAGGGATACGTCTCCCCCACCTTCTGATGCTTCATCCACTGGTCCAGTGCTTGAAGTGGGAGTGGGGAAAGGAAGTAGGACAGTTTTGTTTCAGATTAGTATGAATGTAGTGTAGCATGTGGTTCATTTACCATCTTTAGGTATGTAAGATGTGCTGTAACAATAAAATTCATTCATTGGTTCATTTACCATCTTTAGGTATGTAACTGACACATAAACTATTTGCTACCAGGCATTAGGTAGATACACTTTTACATCATTACAGTCACTTAACAGTCATAACCAAGAACACTGTTACTATTAAAGGTCAAAAACATAATGATCGTGACCTAGTATTGGGCATTCTATATCTTCGGGGGGAAAGTTTCCAGACTCTTGAAAGTGTATATCCCCAAAATCTTGTTGGTCTCTAAGGTGCTATTGAACTTTAATCTTGTGTGACTGCTTCAGGCTGAGCATGAAGTATAGGGAGCTGGTATACTGAGCCTATTTCTGTAGCCATGCCCAGGCAGGCCAGGGCTGTTTGTGGAGGTGGGAGAGGCAGGCAGGTACTGCAGAGGCAGGCAGTTAGGAAGGCAAGTTTGGGGGGTTCAGTTATTGAAAGAAAAGCCGACTGTCTTGCCAGGTGCCTGCCCCTGTGATGTATTTCCAGCCACATCTCCATAAAGAGCTCCATAAATGGAATGGGATGCAGGTTATTTCCATCTAGCCTTGGCCAGAGACAGTGTCATTTTCCTCCAAGAGCTCAACTTCCAAGCTCTGCAGAACCTGTTCACAGCTAGTCTTGTTGAGACATGAGACACCACATAAACACGATGCCACAGATAGCTGGCATTCTATTTCATCCCACTGTACTACAAGTACTGTCCTGGACTGTTAACAAACCACTCACAAAGCATTTGCAGTAACAGTAACATCTTTAATTTGTTTCCCCCTTCCTCAGGCTACAGGGGCCAGGCTGGGTTTGATTGCCCAAAACATTGCCAATCTTGGAACAGGGATCATTATCTCACTGGTAAATGGCTGGCAGCTGACACTTCTGATCTTGGCTATTGTGCCAATCATTGCTATATCAGGGCTTATTGAAATGAGAACGTTGTCTGGTCATGCCAAGAAAGATAAGAAGGAACTTGAAGGTGCAGGAAAGGTAAGTATCTGGTACACTGAAGATATGCTGTCCTGTTCCCCCAATCATTCTTGTTTGTGACTGTGACCCAGATCACCTCCCACGTAAACCCTTTCAAATGCTTCCCCATAATTTATTCTTCCAACACAAATCTACATTTGAGCTTTTCCCTTGATAACTATATGCAGGGCTATTTTTGGGCAGGAACGCACAGGAACGCACAGGAACGGTGTTCCGGCTGGCTCCCAAGTTGGCCACGCCCAGCAGGAACTCATTAGCATAATAGACCACACCCAACAACAGAAACTCATTAGGATTGGCTACATTAGGGGTGTGTGGCCTAACATGCAAAGGAATTCCTGCTACAAAAAAAGGCCCAGGGTTTTGACAACAAACAAGGTAAACAGAGTAACAAGCAAAAGGTGGGTGTGGCTGGATAACCACACTTCTGGTAACATGGGGGTGCGGCCCAATGTGCTAATGAGCTGTGCTGTCAGGGGTGTGGCCCAATATGCTAATGAGTTCCTGCTGTTTTAACAAGCAAAAGGTGGGTGTGGCTGGATAACCACACTTCTGGTAACATGGGGGTGCGGCCCAATGTGCTAATGAGCTGTGCTGTCAGGGGTGTGGCCCAATATGCTAATGAGTTCCTGCTGTTGGGTGTGGCCTATTATGCTAATGAGTTCCTGCTGGGCTTTTTCTACAAAAAGAGCCCTGATATATGCTGCAACTCAACCACCCCCC